CTCCGCATACATGCCTTCCCCTTCACCCGCTCGTAAAATCACGCGTTCTCGGTAGCATCGAGGAGGACTTCCCAGGACCGAAAAGAACTGAGGATTCAGAAAGGTCTCTGGAAAAGTACGTCGCAGAACTGATTAGGACTTACCAGGTCCATCTAGGTCTGGAGAGATCTTGAAAGACCTGTGTACGTCCAATCAGAACCAAATCCTCGACTCGGAGAGTCGCTTAATAACGCGTATACCAACCCATAAGTAAAACAGTCGTGTATTTTAAACCATCGATTAATATACCATACTTTTACCGATAAATACGCGAGTGTTTATTTAGAATATCACCAAGTAATATCCCTTCATACTTTTCCTAACATCCCTACGAGTGAGCGAATCCCCCATGAGCTCACCGCCGAAGTTAGCTGAGGATTAAAGGACCATACAAAAGGATTACAGTGCAGGTATACGTGAAAAGGTGTAGTGAAAAGGAGATTCCTCTCACTGACAGTAATAGCTGGACGGAAAAGGAATATCATTCACTGAGTTTTACCTCCGGGTAAAACTCATAACGTCACAAAGTATATTTTGGTTTACAATTAATCCCAGTTTTGAACATTAATTTTAAACGATTTTTTTCTAACACTTGGAAAAAAATTGCTAGATTTTAGAAATCTAAAGCTTAGAAACCACGGTTTCTAAAGTTTAGAAACTTTTTTCCAAAGCTAATCCACTTTTTTCCTCCATGACGCTGTGAAAAATATCGTTCGATACTCATGGGAAAAGTTTTTTTTAGCCTGTGAGATTATGGTACTCGCCTTCGGCTCGTGCTATCTCTCACAAACCAAAAAACACTTTTCCACACTCGTACCAGCATAAAAAAAAATATAAGCCAAAACTTATAAGTGAGATATAGTGATTTTGCCGGAATTATATCTTGAATATATCCGCCTTGTATACCAGGTATATGCTAGGTATACCAGGTGGCATATTTACACACATATATCCAACATATATCTCAAATATTGCATTGTTTGCCGGAAAGTAAAGGGGACACATATAAGGGGATATAAGTGCCATTTATTTCTGTATATATATTTTTTCTATGTGGGTATCGAAATATACTGCTTTGACACTGTTGCTACGTTCACGAAACTGAAAGTAAACGAAAAGACTTTTCGTTTACGAGTAAACAAAATGGCACTTTTTGGTACGAGGTGAATGTAGTAGCAGTAAGACTTTTTGTTTACTTGTAAACAAAAAAGGCACAGTACGACCTCTCGTTGAGCGTAACATCACTGTCAAAAAATATTGTTCGACACATGTGAGACAATAATTTTCACAAATGTGAAATTGGCGATCAGAGGGGAAACCGAGGGCTGCCAATCACACGAGCTAATTGAGGTCTTGCACTCATACGAAATATACTATTTTGTCACTGCTGCTGCNTGGAATCAACGTTCACCCGGCTAAAAAATTCGATTTTGGCGAAAATCCACTTGCCCCGGAAAACCCGAAAATCTGACCCTTTAGCTGGGGCCAAAAAAACGTTTTGTCAGNCTTTTCGTTTACTAGTAAACGAAAAGTCGAAAATTGTAAACGAAAAGACTTTTCGTTTGCTAGTGAACGAACAATGGCACAGTTCAGCACCCGCTGAACGTAACATCACTAACAAACAATATAGTTCGGATACACGTGCGACGGGGTGTTTTAACTCGTGTGATTGGCAGTCCTCGGCTTCGCCTCGGGCCGCCAACCCAAAAAACCAAAAACTTATGTTTGAACGATTACAAAACTTCAATTCGCAGGCCAAGTTTAAATCAACGTTAGAAAATCTACGGGTCCAAAATGAAACTATGCCAATGTTGCTTGAATCACCTCGAAACCATCCAACGGAAAACATGGAATTTAAAATAAACGGGAGATGTCAATCTCTATAATTGCCAGCGTCCTGCTGAAATATTATTCAGTCTCCACTACAAACAATCATATTTCTTGATGCAACGGCTGACCTTTCCATTCCCCATCAACATAAAAACCTGAAAAAGAAAGAAACACACTTGAAAATCCTCAGTCATTAATTCTCCATTTATTATTTTTGCATTCCGTCTCAAAAAGAGAAAAGGAACAATAGCCACGTACTCATCAGAGGTCTTCTGCAATGTCCCATAAAATCAGTCTGTATGAAGGCGTAAGCTTGAGGCATTTCAATGGCCCTTCACAACTTTATTACCTGCATGCAACAGTAAATGAGAGTTTAAGATTTAAGTCTCCTGCAGATACCCCTTGATGCTGGTCACGCTCTCGGGATTCAAGACAATAGGAATTTCGCCGCCTTCACTTCTAAGCACAATGCCCGGATTATCCAAGTGCCAGTTTGTTTTAATCCTCGACGCTTGGATTTACTCCGAGACTGAGGATCTGCGCACCTTTCAATGTGCAGTCACCCGTGAATTTTTCAACAACTCTATTCTTTTACATTTTTATTTTCCCTCATTTCTCACTTAACACTCCGCTGGTCGCGCAAAAGTTATGAACGCCGTTCGTTGCGCCGTGAGCGCCGCACCGCACCAGCATAAATCAACGTAATTATAAATTTAAAAGATTTAGGGAAACTCTGAAAAAATCAAGAGTGTTCCAGATCGTATTCCGTGAAATTTGTTATGGTCAGTGCTAGCCTTAATTATATATTCAAGCTCAAACTAGCCATGTTTTCCTAAAAATTCGCCCTATACACGGTATACATAGTCCGGAGTTTCGGAATAAAAATTTCAAAGCCTGCACAGCAAAAACGAATGTCTGAATTTCACACACCTTTTGTAGACATTTTTCAGACACTAAAAGACGTTTGAATGAAATGAAAAATTTTCTCAATTTCAAACATGAAGTAAGATGATTAAGAGGATGTTTAGGCACCTGTTCGTTTGAAATTCAGACAAATTTTCATTTTATTTAAATAAACCGTGTTTTTTAGCGTCTGAAAAATATCTACAAAAGGTTTGTGAAATTCAGACATTCGTTTTTACTGTGTAACTGAGGTATTCTATAATATGTCAAATGCGTCAGCCGCTGACCCTCACCCTCTTGGAAATTGATGTCGATTTTTTTCTAGGATTGGGGCACTATAAACACTATCTGTCAATTTTTTTCAAATTTTTTAAACAGTCTATTTCGGAGCCATGATTTTTTCTTTGTTTTTTCATTTTTTTTTCAATAAGTCTAGTTCCATTCATCCGATTTTTATTTATAACACGTCAAAATTTTCGATTTTCTACCATCTATGAGAATATTTTAAGTAATTTTTTTTTCAACCCTTAGGTACTCATAATACCGAATTTTCAAAAAAAGACGTTGAAAAACTTGAATTTTCAAAATTATGTCATGTTTGATTTTTCTCATTTTTTTCAGTAACTTTTGTAATCAAAACAAGTATTTTAAGCCATCATACAAGTTGGGTTTCGTTCTAGATAAATTTTATTTACAATTTTTGCTTCTCGAAATTCCACGAATTTGGTCAAAATACCCCAAAATGGCGTTAACTGTGATTATAAACAGTATGAAGTGAATTTAAATATATACTTATATCTTACATATTTTTTGATACATAATCGAAGTCGTTTTGGCGTGTTTTGACCAAATTCGCGGAATTCAGACACGAAAAAATTAAAAATAAAATAGGTCCAGGACTATTCCTAAATTGTATGACAGCTCAAAATACTTGTTTCGATTATAAGTGTTTCTGAAAAGAAGATGAGAAAAATAAAAGGTGACATAATTTTGAAAAATTGGTATTATGAGCAGCTAGGGATTGATAAGAAAATATCCACAATCTTCTTATAGATGGTAGAAAATTGAAAATTTTGAGCCGTCATAAATTAAAATCGGCTGAATATAACTCAAGTTATTGAAAAAACAACGAAAAAACAAAGAAAAAATCATATCTTCGAAATAGGCTATCGAAAAAATCTTTAAAAAAGTGAGATCAATTTCCAAAGTGTGAGGGTCAGTCGTTGACTTATTTGGCATGGAATATTTTTATGGATATTTTCACTGGTAGAGCTTCTGGACACTTCAAAATGGGATGCCAAATTTTTTCAAATTTTTCTATGATTTACTGCAGTGTAATTGAAATAAAAAATCGAAAAAAGTATGGCGCGGCGCTCATACCACGACCAACGGAGTGTTAATATAGCTTGAGCGTGATTTATCTCTGGGGATCTCGGAATTTGTGATGGTCTGATAAGTCTGGATGATTTTTCCGTTATTAGAGGATTTAAAAAGCGAAACAACCACCTTGTAGATCAAATACTCTGATAATTTTTGTTACCTGTTTTCTTTTTTTACTTCCAGCTTCTGCAGAGATTTAAACTGGAATATCATCATGATGAATTGGATTATCATATTAATCCACTTTACACACCGAAGGGTCCGTTGAAAATCAGATTCATAGAGAGGTGAGGAACTACAAATACAGGAAAAGAAAGTATTCTAGAGTTTATGATTCATAAAAAAACATTGTTGAATTTTTTAAAATTGTACACCGATTTTAGAATAAATATTTGTTACAATTTTAGACGACAAACATCTCAAGATTATTCGAACTCATTTTTTTGTATTTTCTTGTACATGAAACTGGACAAGGCAATAAAAACTGATTATCGCTTCACTAATTTGAATTTGAGGTCTCCATCTGGTGCGTACATGAAAGTCACTCTGTACTTGAGGGGCTCGTAGTGATACTCCAACTTGTAATTTCGGATCAGCTAAAATAGAAAAAGAACATTTTGGAAAAAGGTCAATTATTTAGTTAAATAAGGTTTGAAAAATAAGGATAAGGATGTGATCGATACCTTTGCGAGTAGCACTTGCATCTCAAGATCGGCAAATCGCCGCCCGAGGCACATGCGCGCCCCATGGCCGTAGGGTAGAGAAGCAAAGGGATGGAGTTTATCATCTGCCCCTTCCTTCAGCCATCTCTCGGGTTTAAATGTCTTAGCATCGTCCACCCATTCTTCCATATTACCGGTAACGAGTGTGGGAAACACCACTTGAACCTGTAATTGACAATTATTTTGTGTCATGCTCAGTTAATAGGAGAGCTGGTGCATGTGCCGCCCACCTAAAGGCCACCATACACAGGCGCACGGCGTACGCAGACCCGTTCCGTGCGGACACGGTCTGTGGTCTGTACACCCCCATACACGGAACGACCAGAATGTCTGCGATATTGATACCTTCATATGATTTTAAACAATTCCGCGATGAATCTCTTCGATTAAGAGTATTCCGATCATCGAATGTTTTTGTTTTTACTTCAAAAATGATGAAAAATGATGAAAGATGAAATAAAAGTCTTCATTTTAATATTTCGTATGCATTTCAACAATATTCTCACTGTAAATGGATAATTTCATATATGTATTTCAATGGAAATATTTTATTCGGGAGAAACAAATAATTCCCTTATTCTGGATGAATACTCTATAAGAATCCAATCGAAGATCTATTCCATAGAAATTAGGAATTACTCTTTGTCGCGTGCAAAATAATTCAATTTCTAATCAATAAATTCATAATTTGGGTCAAGGGGAATGATGAATATATTTGACGAATTATTTAATATTATTTTATTATTAAAACAAGAATATTATTAAAGGAAAATAGATTCTATTCATTTTTTCTTTGGGGATAGCGCATGCGCAAATGCTCCCGGTCCACGTACCGGGTCCGTTGTCACCATACACGGACGAACTTGAGGGCAATTTTGGTACGCGACAGTCCCGGTTTTCAAGCCGTCTTGAAAGACCACGCACCACGGACCCGGTCTGCCGCACCTGGTCCGTGACCCTCCACACACAGGCGAACTTGGTCTCTTGGAGGCTCAATTTTGGCTGGTCCGCGTACCCCGTACGTCCGTGTATGGTGACCTTAAGGGAAATGAGTCTTTTTTTCAGCCATGCACTCCACAAGGCGCAGTCATGAACGGTTAGAATGGGTTCTTCGAGGTGTTTACTCGAAGATGTGAAGAGGACAAATTTTTTATTAACATTAAACATGTTCAACTTTTCACTGTTTTCTCTTCATTTTTCTGATATTCGGTCGTACTTTTAAAGAAATAAACATTATTCTAGAAAAATTTCTATTGGAGAAAAATTTGTGGAAGAAGGTCGTGTGCGCCAAAAAAATAGTGTCCTTAAAAGTTGGGTGAAAATGATTCTAGAGAGCTCAAATCGTCGAGATTTCATGTTCCCTAGATTAGGTTTGTACTACCTTTTTCCACTTCGTTGACCTAAAAATCTCAAAATGGTCAATACGACCTTTTTCCTTTTAGCACGCGATATGATTGCATCCCTCGCCTTCGGGTCGGGTTGAATTCATATTCGCCAGAAATAGTACATTATGTCAACAGGCGATATAAATATTATCTAACGAATGTGACTTTATACACGGAGTGAAATGTCCAGTAAAAATTACGGAACTCACAATTCACTCGCAGATTACGGAATCGACTCCGAAAATTTAAGTGACGGTATCGTAATTTTTTACAGGAGATTCACATAAAATTTACGGAACGCTCCGGAAAAATTCCGTAACAGTTCCGTAAAATTTCGCTCCGGAATTAGGGAAAAGATACGTAATTTTTATGGAATATTTCTCTCCGTGTAATCCGAGCCCACGTCGAACAATCAGCCAGATAATCGCCGTATTATCGCCGTGTGACATTTAATATTTTATGTCAATGGGCCCGAAAACGGCAAACTAATCCAGCGAAACGAGATTCGAATCGCGATTTATGGGCCCAGTATCATAAAATTTCCTTACATACTCGTCCAAGGACTTTGCACTGTACACTGACAGAACGGATTAGTTATTGTTAACGAATGGATTTTGGTTGGAAGTTAGGGTCTATTGGGTCTCACCAAATGTTATAGTAATGTAATAGTTAACGAATGTATATTTGAGGAGCCTTGTTTGACTTGAATTTCGCCATTCAAGTGAACCATTCGTTAACTATTAACGAATATTCATTTGGTCATACAGTGGACTTCCCTCAGCTCTTACTATCCGTAGCTGGGGGGGCATGTCCTAGCGGCGGGGAATGTGTCCCCCACCGCACTAGTGACGTCATGCACGAGGGGTAACGTTGTGTATCCTCGGCCGGTATGTTACAGCGTTCTCTCTCAGATAATGACGTTGTCTCTCTTACGTAATCACGTCCCTGCGCATGTGGAGGTGGTAATTCCCTATCTCGAGTTCTTGGAATCAGACCTCTGAACGCTATGAGCTAGGGGAAGTCCATTGTATTCAGCTCTACCATTCGTTAATAGTTAACGAATCTCGTTTGGAATAAATGAATCATTCTATCAGTGTAAGGACCTAGTCAGATCTTGGAATGATATTTTAAATTGAAAATTGTCAAAAATGTCAAATTTCTGTGGTGAACCTTTCTGACACCAAATACTCGATATTAAACCTAGATTGGTAACTATATCAAGGAAACGCCGCAGTGCGTCGTTTTTCTTCAATTGCCATTGACGAGCTAACCGGAAAAATTAAAAAAAATTTGGCTTTTTCAATTGAAGTGTCTAAAAAACTATAGTCATTTTTTGAACAACATAATTCCCGAAATTCATGCGCAAAACAAATTATTTACAACAGATGAATCATTTTTTTCAATGTTGAATGAAATTTGCCGTTACGCGAGGTTGCCGGAAACTCGCTAAACGCGCCCAAGCTGTGTGGAGTGAATTCGGCAATGCTGGAGCGTAAAGAACACGGCGGTGCACCTCCGCGAGAGCAGTCACAGGGCCGCGTAAAAAATAAAATAAAAAATAAAATATAAAAATAATAAAATACAATATAACGCCTCCCCTAACATCAACCATTCTGGTTCCTCCTCCAACATTTGTTTCTAACATTAGTCAATATTCAGGGAAATTCAAAGTAATAAAATGTGTGATTAATAGGAACTTTACTCATTTCGTTCGGTTGTTCCCCCACTTCATTGCTGAGTAATTTTTTTTAACGAATTTCGGCAATTTATCACTTGCGCTCTACACGGAGAGAAATTTTCTGGAAACATTCTAGTACGAGTACTGGAAAAAATCACAATCCACCAGCTGTGAAAGATTCTAGTGCTGTTAAGGTAAAATTTCTTGATATTTCTGGTAACATTTCTGAGGATTTCTGTGAAATTTTCACAGAAATACGGCGAAAAATTCACGTTTTCCCCAATAAAATTTCTAGTGCCAGCACTGGAATTTTTTCCTGGCCGTCACTTTCCGCCTCTTTTCCCGTACTTAGCACTAGAATTTTTCTAAAAAATTTCTCTCCGTGTACGTAATTTCAAGTAAGAGGAATCTCTGGCGCATATTCTATTATATTGCCCACTTTATTCATCGCCACGAAAATTCTACTTAGACCCGATATTACCGCATTATACTGGAAATAACGATTTTGTTGACCCTAATGAAATCCTTATAGATTTACTGCACACTAACCTTGGGGGTAATAATGTCGTAAAGAATTTGCACAATTTCATTAGAGACGCGATGAAAATTCGCTCTTTTCACCTCAAATACTGATTATTTTTGGGAATTTGTAGTGCTTGTTCCGCCTATGTTCGAACGTTTTATGTTTTCATGTTATCTTTTATGCTTTAAGTCTGTGCTGGGTGTCATATGTAATCACAGACATATGTCTATGTATGTAATGATAAGTTTTATTTTGTCGATCACTACAAAAACCAGGTGTCTGACAGTTATCTGAATTTAAGATTCAGATGGTAAAAAACGTCTGAATCTTCAAAAGTGTCTGAAAATCTGACTAATGTCTGAAAATGATGGTAGCCGTTTCTGTCTGAATATGATAGTAGATATTTTTTGTCTGAAAAATTTCAGGTATTTATTTCCAGATATTTTCTGTGACTGAAATTCAGCTATTTATGAGCGATTCAAACATTTCACTATTAAGATATCTCACGTGATTTAGACGGCAAAGTTCATTCAAACATTAATTTTTAAGATATTTCTGATGTCTGAAAAGTTGACTCATCCACTGCAAAAACTAGGTGTCTGACAACCATCTGAAGTTAAGATGGCGGATGGCAAAAAACGTCTGAATCTTGAAAAGTGTCTGAAAATCTAACTGATGTCTGAAAATTTCAAACACCGCTTGTGTCTGAAACTGATGTCTGTATCTTTATTTCAGACATCTTGGTGTCTGAAATTGAAATATCTCCATTGATTCAGACACATTTTAATGTCTCAAAAGTGTCTACAAAATTGTCCCAAAAGTGATTGAGAAGTGTCTACAAAAGTGTCTGAAATTCAGACATTAGTTTTCGCAGTGATATTGATTTTTGAGACGGCAAAGCCCACCATAGTACATTGTGTCATTAGGGCGATAAGCGGCGGTTTTCGATGAGTGTGAAGTTTGCAGCATGAGGCGTAGTATAGTCGGAGACGAGGGCCGCCGGAGGCTATACTACGCCTCATGCTGCAAACTCACACGATTCGAAAACCAACGCTATCGCCCGAATGACACATACTATTTTTCGTCACGAAGGCCCGAAAAGGGGGGGGTCCAGGGGGGCGAAGCCCCCCCCCACTGTCAGAAACCAAATATTGAAAGGGAAAAAAAAATTGGAAATTTATAAAACAGAAAATGATGGAAAGGGAATCCATAAGAAATTAAAACATCAATTGATTAAAATTAATTTTCTCATAGTTTTGATTATTCACATTTACTCTTGTTACAAAAATGCCTCGTGAACATGTGCTGTTACACTCGATATCAATTCATCATCACTTGTATATCAGCGAAAATATCAGGTGAATTCACTTCCTCGTCACTATTTGGTACCCAATCTGCCATTTTTCCTCTTTTTTTTCACAAATTTTGACTGAATATTCTCCTCAAACACAATTTTCTCGATCAAACACAACAAACTCCCCGAAATGGCGTCTGATTATCTCCACACGACTGTGACCGATAGTTTGATTAGCGACAAGACCAACAGCGGCGCTGTACGCCTTACTAGACTATACAATCCGGTGAGCGACAACTATATCGGCACACTTCAAGTAGCAATTTATCGGCCCTACGGCTGCTAAATGTGATTTAGCATGCCTGTTCCGCTATTTAACATGCCTCGGCCGCCCAGAGCTGCTATTTGCTATTTATCGCCCTCAAAACAGGCCCATATAGCGCCATTATCGGGCCTCAGTGACGAAAAACATTGTTATGTATGAGAAACCTTTCTAAGAATTCTGAATTTCCTCCCTGCCATAAGGCGTTACCCCTGGGAGGCAGGTAATGATAAATAAAAAAACACTAAAATAGTACAATCATAATAAGAATATTTAGTCTCTAACGCCTCCTCTAACATCAATCATGCTGATTTGTCCTCCAACATTTGTTGTTAACATTCGTCAATATTCAGGGAAATTTAAAATCAACAAAATGTGTAATAGGAATTTTACTCGTTTCGTTCTGTTCTATTCCCCCACACGGATAGAAATTAATCTAGAACAATTGTAGTACGAGTACTGGAAAAAATTACAATCCACCGGCTGTGAAAAATTCTAGTGCTGTTAAGGTAAATTTTTTTGGTATTTCTGGTAAATTTTCTGGGGATTATTTCTGTGAAATTTTCACAGAAATACGGTGAAAAGTTCACGTTTTCCCCAATAAAATTTCTAGTGCCGACACTGGAATTTTGTCCTGGCCATCACTTAGCGCTTCTTTTCCCGTGCTAGCATTAAAATTTTTCTAAAAAATTTCTCTCCGTGCACTTCATTGTTGAGTAATTTTTTTTGTAATAAATTTCTGGCATATTTATAACATACCCCCTTTGGTATATGATAACCGCAGATGACAGCGTCATTCTGCAAGGTTCTCCCATTCCCGATCACCGTTGAATATACTCTGAAAGGTGATAAAACCAGAACGATAAACCAATAATAATTATTTCATAAAAAAAAAGTAACGTCGACTCCACAGAAATAGCAAAAACAAAGGGAACCGTAAAAGATACCTAAATACTTCCCGAATGAAGGCTTTGGTATACACAGCCTGATCTAAGTGCTTCGTTGTAAGGGGAACGGACGGATCAGGTAGAATTTGCTTCAGTTCATTGTACACCTTCTCCTGTTCCTCTGTCCTTGTGGCCAATTGATAGAGAATTGAGCAAACAGCCATCGAAATCTGAAATAAATTATGCATACACCTGTATATATCATGGGTATAGTCCTGGCCACAGAAGAATGGTCGTGGCTGGGTACCCCACTCTCTCGAATTTTGCTCCGACCTGACGTCCCCCACCACTGAGATCCAAAATCGTTTTTTCCTGGCGGCGATGATGGGGGAGACCAGGGCAAAATGAAACAATGTTGAAAATGCATCTCTCACAGGATTTGAAGGACTTTTTTGCTATACTTCACTGCGAAAGTGATAGATTGGGATTAGGTTACGCGGTTTTTTACTTTCATTTGGATAGGATTTTTTCCCTACACTGAGAAAAAAATTCTAATATCTGAAACATATTTTCTTGAAACAAGTAATTTTTCTTCAATTTTTTAGTTCTCCCAGGTATCTCAACTCACGTGACCCGAGAAAGGTCTCACGTTTTAAAATATTTTTGTACTCAAGTATGATTTTGTCGCAAATGAACTCACTCAAATCGCGTAGAAGAATCGCCAATCTTCAAGTATTTATTGTTTTCATAATTTTTTTGTTATGCACTTGCAATATTTCGATATGTAATATATTCATGATACAATGCGCAATGATAGTAATAAATGAGATTTCATTCGAGTTCCGTGAAGCGCGAACATTCTGAGATTTAAACCATTCAAAATAATTTATTTCTCTCAAGTAATTATGGTTTACATATTAGAAAATTTTTCTCTCAGTGTAGGTTTTTTATCTGCGGACCAAGTATTGATGATAGTCTTGCTTTTGCTGCTGAATATGTCTTCTTCATGTACTTTTTACACGCAAGACCTCCCTAGCATGTGTTCTACTGTTATCCAGAGTATAATAAACAACTCACAGCCGATATTCACATAAGCACAGCGCATATGCGCTAGTGTAAAAGTTTTATAATTTACATCTGTTAATTGATTCATCCATTAATTTGGCCGTAATATTTTCTGTTTGATAATCAATAAATGAAATTGCTTGAAAATGTTATTAACACTCCGTTGGCCGTGCTATGAGCGCCGCAGCGCACTTTTTCCGATTCTTTAACCCCTCATGTACGAGGTCGATGCATGGTATTGACCCATGCGAATGTGAACGCTTGTTTTCGAAATTTATTATTTCCAAATCTATGAAGAATAACTTGATCAGGCAAACAAAATTGGAAACCGGAATACTGTAGCTTCAATTAGATACCAGTTTCATAATTTTCCACACGGAGAGAAATATTCAATAAAAATTACGTATGTTTTCCGTAATTCTGGAGTGAAATGTAGGTTGTAGGAAATTTTACGAATGGAATGTCACGGAATTTTTCCAGAGCGTTCCGTAATTTTTATCTGAATCTCCTGTGAAAAATTACGATACCCTCATTTAAATTTTCTGAGTCGATTCCGTAATCGGTGAGCGAATTGTGAGTTCCATAATTGTTACTGAACATTTCTCTCCGTGCATTCATTAGAAATAATCGAATTCGAGCCGTATTGAGCACACTACGCTTGATAAGAGAAGGGCCCCGTCCGTGAGGGGTTATATCGCACTGCAGTAAAACCTCAGAAAAATTTGACATCTCATTTTGAAGTGTCTAGAAGCCCTATCAATAAAAATATCCTCCAAAAATATAATAAGTAGTTGGATTTGCAAATTTTCGTTCCAAAACTCCAGGCCGTGTACTGTGTATAAGGCGAATTTTCAGAAAAAGATATTGTTACTTATTTGCGCTTGAATATATGTGGACTTCCTCATGAAAAGGGACCACTTTGTCGATTCTTGTTTCCGAGATATTCATGTTTTGCCTCAGTAACTTCCATTTATACCAATATTAAATTGTTTCTTTCATCTTCTCCACCGACGTCATTCTTGATCCTATGAGGATCATTTTGGGCTTAAAATGTGCGGAATATTATCAATACTATCAGAGTACACATAATATCGGCAAAGTGGTCCCTTTTCATGCGGATGTTCACATATAATGAAGGGTAACACTGAACATAAAAAATCTTACGGGATTTCTTTAAGCATACGATCTGAATCAGTCTTGATTTTATCAGATTTTTCGTAGATTTTTCAAATTTATCATTATATCGATTTCCCGAGTGGAAATTGCTTCAGGCCCACCTGAAGCACGATCAGAACTTTATCAGGTTTTTGTAAGGTTCGACTGATCCGGTAATTCCTGATGAGAACCTGACCAAGTTCTGATCCAGCAGGTCGGATTCGAAAAACTACAAGGCGGGTTCAGATCAAGTTCTGATCAAGTAGACATGATCAGATAATGCCTGATGAAAACCTGACCAAGTTTTGATCCAGTAAATCGGATCCGAAAAACTGCAGGATGATTCAGATCAAGTTCTGATCAAGTAGACATGATCAGATAATGCCTGATGAAAACCTGACCAAGTTTTGATCCAGTAAATCGGATCCGAAAAACTGCAGGATGATTCAGATCAAGTTCTGATCAAGTAGACATGATCAGATAATGCCTGATGAAAACCTGACCAAGTTTTGATCCAGTAAATCGGATCCGAAAAACTGCAGGATGATTCAGATCAAGTTCTGATCAAGTAGACATGATCAGATAATGCCTGATGAAAACCTGACCAAGTTTTGATCCAGTAAATCGGATCCGAAAAACTGCAGGATGATTCAGATCAAGTTCTGATCAGGTAGGCACAATTTCACCGTGAGGTCGGCTGCCTGACCCCAATTTGATCAAATTCGGAATTGATGTCTTTGATCGGCATTTGAACGGGGTCAATTGAAGAGAAAATGATTAGATTCAGATCCGGTTCACCTGACATTAATTTGAATAGGTTTTTCGGATAACTTAATTAACTATTATTATACTATTCAAATTAAGTTTTATCAACCATTATCAATAATTATTTTCAATCTTTAAAAGCGATCATTATACTACAAGTTAAATAAATTTAATTAATTTAATTAATAAATTTAATTAATTTAATTGAACATATTTTATCTCTGAGAATACACACGCACATCCATCAGATCAGGAATAATTGTAAATTCAACGAATACCCCGATACAAATCATATAGGCAATGTACAGTTTACTCAATAGTAATAGCGCGATAGCCTAGTGGTTAGGGCATAGGATTAGCAATCATAGGGTCCCCGGTTCGATCCCCAGCATCGGTAAAAAAATAATAAGCTTTTTCAGAGGTAATAACAGTAGAGATTCATTAAGAGAGGCGGCCTACGGTGAAAGAATTCAACTATCTTTTGTTTTGGATTGATTATCATTGATAATTGTTATTGATACTGACAGAAAGGTCATCCGGTTTTCATACAGTTGACTTGATCAAGTTCGGATCCGTTAACTTGATCAATACCTGATCAGTGGTCAGGTCTAATCTGATCCAACTTGATCAATACCTGACCGGAATTTCCTCTCGGGTTATGCTGGTACGGCGCCGCGCTTATACGACGCGACCAACAGCGTTCGTAACTTTTGCGCGACCAACGGAGTGTTGAACCGTTTTACCACTTCGCTAAATTAATTATATAAATTAAATTAAAGCTATATGTTCTCTGTGAACAATGCTGATTTCTCAACGGAACAAAATGACGCAAATGCAAAAATACCAACGATGGACATAGTAATCTTTCCCCAGATTAGCATCGAAATCATCATTTTCATTTCATAATTTTCTTCTGTTGGTTTTTGTTTTATTATGATTTTTATAATATGTCCAGTGAAGAAAGAACGAAAATCTTATGTATTTTTTTATGACTCCAAATGATTTTTGCCCGGCAGTCTTTTTCCAATAAAGAAAGAAGAAAGAAATAAAGAACCCAGAATTGATGATTTTACTGGGAACGACAACAGCCCGAAAATTTTAAAGTAAATTAATGTGTTGAATAAATATCGCGGGACGCATTTGTATAGGAATAATAACCATGCCAGATTGTAATTAAATTCGAAAGATGGACATAATTGTGAATCCATTTCACAATAGATCTGATGACTATTTTATAATTATTCAATTACCGTGTCAATTCCAACCAAAATGAGATCGAGAGCAAGAATGTACGCAATTTTTGGATCTTTTTCATTCGCTAGGATCCTTTCCACCAGCGATAAATCAGCTTCATTCATTGATTTTTTGTTCTTCAGCCTCACAAGAGCTGCATCAATGTGCTTGGTGCATATTCTAGACGAAAAAAAACCAGTTGCAACATTAAGCCTTTGGTAATCCACTCGTGCTGTATCATGTTTCCTTTCTCGGTGATACTTACTCAACAAAAAAATCCATGTTCCTTACGTATCGAGACCACAAGGGCGTGGGGATGTACCTCCAGTACGGGGCCTTTAGTTCCAGCTCCGCAACATTTCTCAATGCAAATTTCGCCGCGTCGATTATTTTTTGAGGCTCAGAATCGGGAGTTAAATTGTCGTCGAGACAGCCTAATCTTACGTCAAGGGCTACGCGTCCAATACCTGAATTCATAATTTTTTTTTCAATAAGTTCTGAATGACGAATGTAATTCGATTCAATAAAATCGGTAACGAAGCAGCAAACCGGTTCAAGTAGATTTAGACTATTGATCATTTTTCAATAAATATCTCGGAACCTAAGGGAGATGGAGAATTTTTTGTAATAACCTTTTATGTAGAGCAAATTGAGAGCTATAAAAAAGGTTATAATGAAAATTTCGCTATTTCTCTTCGATTCGGAAATATTTCTCAAAAACTGAGCAAAGAGCTAAGTCGATTTGAACCGGTTTACCGCTTCGCTACTGAAATTTGACTGACTCTTCGCTTTTTCGACACTTACATTCTAATGCCCATTTATGAATTTCGTTGTCAAAATCCGCAGGTACTTCATTATTGTTACCCTTGATTTTTTCAATTCTGTAATGATAAATGAATCACTTAAAATCAGGACGACTCAATATAAGGGTAGATGTTAATACGACGCATTTATTAATTGGATAATCATCTTAGAAAGAAATGGGAATTCAAATTAACTTATTATTTTTTGTGACCTCCCGAATTCAATAGTTATGAAAACTCAAGCTGAGCAGTGAATTGATTAAGGGATGGTAGGGCAAAACGACAGAAAATTGGTAATTCTAGTTTTTTTTTCTTTCCTTCAAATCAGGAACACGGAATGTGTTGAATTAAAAGTGAGTTTCTTGGATCAAGTGTCGTTGAACCGTAATTTGATCAGATTTGCTAATCACCTCAACACGGAGAGAAATACTCAATAAAAATTACGTATCTTTTCCGTAATTCCGCAGCGAAATGTGGTTGTAGGAAATTTCACGGAACCGCCACGGAATTTTTCCAGAGCGTTCCGTAATTTTTCTCTGAATCTCCTGTGAAAAAATAATACGATACCCTCGCTTAAATTTTCTGAGTCGATTCCGTAATCGGTGAGCGAATTGTGAGCTCCGTAATTTTACTGAACCTTTCTCTCCGTGAAACGACGACTGATTTTGAAATTTTGTTAATGCTTCCATTCTCGCAATGGTCCGTTTTGTCCTAGTAATCCATTTTGCTCTACCCTCCCCTACAAGTTAATCCTAATCATTGATTCACTTGTGATCAATTCATTACAGACATCCGTACAGAAAATAAAAATGTTATTTTCAATATCTGAAATTTTTTAACACTAACTATAATGCAATTCCTCCAATGATAAGGGATTCAATCACTGAAATTGAGACATCGGTACAATCATAAATGTTAAATTAAGTTGAATTTTGCATTAGTAAACTGTTTAATATTACTCAACAATATTTCAATCATTAAATTAATTATTGATTAAATACAGGCCAATCTTCGTACAAAATATCACAGGGCCGGTAGACGAATCAAACAGCACAGAAGTTTCTCTTTCATTTCCTCCTGCAGCCGATTGTTACCGAGATAAATTTATAATTAACGAAACATTCTGAATTTCACTTTCGTTTACCTTTCTATAAAATCTTGAGTAACAACTTCGATAGGTGTGATATATTTTCGTACGGTTTGGGGCTGAAGAACCGGTTTCTGAACACGTGTCCGAAATGATTTCCATGGCTCTCCGTGTCTGAAAAATAAAAATTCGTAATTTCCAAAGGGATACAATCGATAGAAAATTAAAATAGAATTTTGCTCGAACATCTATTATTTGTTTTACGGATTTCTTTTGAAAATTATACAATATTTTTTTGCGTTTCCTATTAAATACGTGTGATAAAATAAATAAATAATTATTGATGTCTCTAAACAACTCATCCCATTGCGTTTTTTTCTACAAGAATTCTTGGGGATGAATTTTCTTCCATTCTGTATTGCCAAACATGTAAAAAGCTTGCTCGAGAACAGATACCGCAAAATAAGTAATTTGAATTTAATATTATGAATACTTGAGATACTTCCTCAGTGAGTTATACTTGGTGAAAATTTCGCAATTAACTGAAGACCTAAAATTTGGATCATACCCGGAGAGAAATATTCAATAAAAATTACCAGAAAAAAGACGTAAAAATTACGAAACTTAATCAAATAATCAAGTAAGGGAGTTTGACCCTCTTGACCCTCGTAATCTATTGTTGCTTGTTGTACCTTGTGACCCGTATGGCCCTTATGACCTTATGGAAACGCAATCTGGGAGCGAAGTAAAATTCAATAAAAAGTGTCAATCGTCACGTAAATTCTACGATCTGTTCCGTAAAAATTACTCATCCGTCCGACGCCTCACGGCTAGCCATGAGTCACCATGAGGGGAAAATTTTAACAACACGTTTCGTAATTTTTCCGGAACTTTTCGTAAAAATTCTTAAACATCCAAGAATTTTCATGTTCTAAGGCATAATAAATCTTGAAGTTTCTGTTAGATTTTACAACTTCCAGAAAAATTACGTGACTTTTTCGTATTTTTTCGGTGACAGGCCCGAAAATTTACTGAACGTTTCAGATTTATTCTCTTATATTCCTATAGAAATTCACTGAAAACGATTCTCGCTTGCGGATTACGTGAAATGTTCCGTAATTTTCCTTGAATATTTCTTTCCGTGTATGTTGTTGAGGACATGTAAAAACGACTCCGAAAATTTTCAAGTATTTTTTCCACGCGAATTTTTGAGATATCCATCGTCAAACATTCAATTTTTGTCATTTTCAAGTTTTTGTCGATGCATATCTCAAAAATTGGCGTGGAAAAAATACTTGAAAATTTGGGAATCGTTTACACATGTGCACAACAACATATGATCAAAATTTCAGGTCTTGAGTTCATTGGGAAATTTTCACCACGTATAACTCACTGAGGAAGTACCTTAAGGTGTTTCGTGCGAAAAAGATAAATAATGAGATTCATCTGGAATTCATGTAGAATATTTATAATCACAATTGAATAAGCTATGAATTTTCCTAGAATTTTTTCAGATATTCTTTTCAAGTTATGAGCCATTAAAGTCGCTGCTTATACATAGGCTCTTATGGAGATTTTTCTGATCAGCATGAAACTATATTATAGGCTCAGATGGTAACGCAGTTTCGTGCTAAACAGAAAAATCTCCATAACAGCTTATGTATAAGAAACGACTTCGATCGTTAATAACTTGAAAAGGGAATCTGAAAAAATTCCAGAAAAATTCGAAGATAATTCAATTCTGATTATAAACATTGTATATGAATTCTAGATGAATGTCATTATTTACCTTTTTCGCGCGAAACACATTAAGATGGACCAAATTTTGCCAATCTTGTTTGTTGCTTATGACGATAGAGAACTTACATAATTAAAAAAAATTTTTTAACCTTTACACCAAACCGTTGGTCTATGGGACCGCTATCAAAACTTTCATAGTGTGTAACTATTGATAAATTCATAACTATTGATAAGAAAAAAAATTTCAAACTTTCAGTAGCATCCTATTTCATCGGTTCCAATCGATACAAAATGTTTTCAATTTTTGTCGCCTCGATAAATCCAGAATAGTTTCTATTGAACATTTCAAACTAATCGGCAAAAACTAATACAAAGTTCAATAGAAATCGAATAGAATGGTCAAATGAATTAACTAGGTTTTCCTATTAAATTTTTTCGTGCATAATGTCATAAGGCCGATAGGGAGTGTGAAGCTTGCAGTACGAGGCGTCAGTCAGTCGGAAACGAGGTGACATTATTACTAATTGCCAGTGACATCGTCACTAATTTGCATGGACACCATCAGTAATTTTCGGAGTGATGTCACCGATTTTCAGAAACCCATGCCTACACTAAGAAAAAAAATCACTCTACCGAACAACTTTATGTTCCTTCCATATTATCACAACTTTGTGTTTCTTCCACACTATGTTTCACTTTATCTTCTTTTATATTGATCAGGGGTTGTAGAATAGAAGAAGAAAATAGTGAAATAAGAATTGGAAGAAGAGAACCCATTCGCATAGAAATATACGGAAACGTTGGCTGGAGAGTTTTAGCACGCCTCTAATAATAGGACTTTGCATAAACAACAATAGTTCTCTACTGTCTTTCTTCATTATCATCAAATCCTTCAAATTGTTTCACTCGCATCCCATACTTTCCAATGTAAAAGAAATCTCTATTTACCTCTTTTTCTATTTTGATCTCTATTACACACTGTATCTGTCTATATTATATAAATGCAAATCGATTTCTGGTGATCAAAATTTAAGACCCGAAATGAAGACTTCAAAATTAAGGGTGACAAAGGTCAAAATAAGGGTCGCGAGGGTTCCAAGGGTCAAAACGGGTTATTCGGGTCAGAATAAGGGTCACGAGGGTTCAAGTAAGGGTCACGAGGGTTCAAGTAAGGGTCACAAGGGTCAGATTGAAGGTCATAAGGATCAAAATAAGGGTCACAAGGGTCAGATTAAGGGTTGTGAGGGTCAAAAAAGGGTTATTAGGTTATAAAAATTTAAAACCCGAAATTGAGACTTCAAAATTAAGGGTGACAAAGGTCAAAATAAGGGTCGCGAGGGTTCTGCGGGTCAAAAAAGGGTTATTAGGGTCAGAATAAGGGTCACGAGGGTCCAAATAAGGGTCACAAGGGCCAGATTAAAGGTCATAAGGGTCAGATTAAAGGTCATAAGGATCAGAACAAGGGTCAGATTAAGAGTTGTGAGGGTCCAAAAAAGGGTTATTAGGGTAAGAATGAGGGTCACGAGGGTCCAAATAAGGGTCAGGAGGGTCAAATTAAAGATCATAAGGATCAGAATAAGGGTCACACGGGTCAGATTAAGGGTTATATAGCTCAGATTACGGGTCACAAAATTAAAGGTCACACGGGTCAGATTAAGAGTCTAAAAAGTGTCACAAGGATCAGATTAAAGGTCACCAGAGTCAATATAAGGGTCACAAGGGTTAAAATGATGGTCAGATTAAGCATCCAAATAAGGTTCACAAAGGTCAGAGTAAGGGTCGTGGGGGTGATATGGGGGTTGGCGAGCGGAGCGTGCAGGGGGCGCAGCCCCCTAATATTATAATAGCATTCAACCAAATATCTCTGTATATACCACGCTGAAGGCCAAAAATAAAAACAAAAAAATAAAATTATGCACTTTTTTCATGTAGAAACAATAAAAGAAGAAAACTCGTACTCACACTCCCACAACGCCTCCCAAGTCGCCGAAGAAATCTCTCCTCGCGACACTTTTATAATGCACGAGACAGGGCATCGATGGTCGAAAGGGTGTGGGCCCCTCCTGCCTATACATTCTCTCAATTTCATCCGCATTATACACAAACAATAGATCGGGCCTACCAATAAGACCACTGAGTCTCGTTATTTCACCGTACTCTTCGTGAAACATTTGGGAAATTTTGGCCACGTCACCGATTTCATATTGCCCGATTACTGGGAAGAGACGCCAGGTGTTCCCGAGAATTGGTATTGGTTTTGGACCTGGTACCTCCTTGTAGGGTCTTACGTTCGTTAATTCCGGACACTCTCTCTGTGCACTTATTGCTTGATTGCACATTGACCTGACAATTGTATCGATTTGACGTATCATGGGACGGGCTGGTACTGGTGTTAATGCCATTATTTGATGATCTGTAATTAGAATTATTCGTAGGGATTGAGTAAAAGGGTACAGTTGGAGAAATTACGCATTTAATTTTATATGTTCGGTCGCATAGCCGTGAATATGACGGAAATCATGTGGATTTCCGGATAAAATTCTAAATAACTTGATTCATTGCATTCTCATAAGTTATTGAGTTTTTCTATTCTGTATTGTTGATGTAGGCCACAATAACTGTTTGAATCAAATAAAGGAATACTGTCACGAAATTTCCATTTTTTAGAGTTGAATATCGCCGACGCTATGTAGTATTTTTTTTGGTTCCATATGTATACCCTCTCGAGTTTTTACATTTTTTTCCCTTCCCTATCTGCGTTACCATGGGCCGACTTACTTTATCCCCAACTGTACCTCATTCGGAATTGGGCTGCCAGGGAAACCATGGAAAACCTCAGTCGTGCAGCCGGCTGATAATGCACGGATTTCACTGTGTCCATTGGTCACACTGACTCAATGGGCACAGTGGTTCTCTACATTCGTGCCTAGCGACTGTAGTTCCATGCGGTTAGGTATGCCTAAAGGCCACCATACACAGGCGCACGGCGTACGCAGACCCGGTCCGTGCGGACACGGTCTGTGGTCTGTACACCCCCATACACGGAACGACCAGAATGTCTGCGATATCGATACCTTCATATGATTTTAAACAATTCTGCGATGAATCTCTTCGATTAAGAGTATTCCGATCATCGAATGTTTTTGTTTTTACTTGAAAAATGATGAAAAATGATGAAAAATGAAATAAAAGTCTTCATTTTAATATTTCGTATGCATTTCAACAATATTCTCACTATAAATGGATAATTTCATATATGTATTTCAATGGAAATATTTTATCAAGGAGAACCAAATAATTCCCTTATTCTGGATGAATTCTCTATAAAAATCCAATCGAAGATCTATTCCATAGAAATTAGGAATTACTCTTTGTCGCGTGCAAAATGATTCAATTTCTAATCAATAAATTCATAATTTGGGTCAAGGGGAATGATGAATATATTTGATGAATTATTTAATATTATTTTATTATTAAAACAAGAATATTATTAAAGGAAAATAAATTCTATTCATTTTTTCTTTGGGGATAGCGCATGCGCAAATGCTCCCGGTCCGCGTACCGGGTCCGTTGTCACCATACACGGACGAACTTGAGGGTAATTTTGGTACACGACGGACACGGTTTTCAGGCCGTCTTGAAAGACCACGCACCACGGATCCGGTCTGCCGGACCTGGTCCGTGACCCTCCACACACAGCCGAACTTGGTCTGTTGGAGGCTCATTTTCGGCTGGCCTTAAGCGGACACCCATCCAAGTACTGGGCAGACTGAACACTGCTTAGCTTGGATGACCGCCGGAGCCACACACTCCCCGCGTGACCACTACAGCCACAAAACTATGTAGTACACAATTTTACAAAAAATTCCCCGTATTCGAAATTTATAAATTTATCGCGAAGTAGTTTTTTAAGAACATCATAAGCACCGTTTTATCATAAGATGAAAAAATCGAGTTCGGAGGGACCCATAAACCCCGTTTGGCCTATGCCTCGCATGTCAGAAGCCGGTATCTCATTATTTATTATCTCCTAAACTGTGTAGTATAATCATGTGTATTATATACATTATCACTTTAAAAAAATCCATTGTAACGATTCTTGAAGCTTAGTTTTACTATTCCGGCATCAGCCGTGGAAAACAATCGGCGCGCGAAGCGCGCGCCGTGTTCTAGTCTATGAAGAAAATGCGGACAATATTAAGAAAAGCGTGTTTCTTAGCGATATCCCTTGAAACCTAAATAACACGGCGGCACATTTCCGCGTAGGCGACCAAAGTCACTGTGTCGCGTCCCGGGTAGAAATTCAACCGGGGATTCAGCCGCAACTCGGGTGANGTTTCAGTGAATTGTTCTACCTTGTATTTTCAGATTAATCCCATTCGATTAGTTAATATCACGTTATTTCTGATGAGCTTGTGATTGTTCATCTGAAAAAGCATGCCATCTTCACATTTATTCGATTGTTTTTTCGCTCAAATCACGATGCCATCGGACCTGTCAAATCATTATTGAGGTTAAGTATACTGGGATTGAGTAATTGGAGATGAACCTGAGGTTGAGCAGTGGCCATTCAACTAAAGCCCGGCGAAGCGTTTCGCGTAATAGTCTAACGCTGAGCTGTGAGCGCGTGACGCTGCTCAACCTCGGGTACATGTGACGCGCGTGGAGTTTATCCCAAGCTGGGACGGAGTGGCGTGTTTCCAGCTGGGATACGAGTTTCGAGCCGAGCTCGAGCAGCGAGATTTCTACCCGGGGTAGGGTGACGAGACTAGGGTTGAATTGAGATCTCAAAGTCTCAAATTGAAACTTTCGAAACTCTCAACGTAAGAATTTCCGACGTCAAATTAAGGCTTTTGAAAATCTTATTTTAAACCCTTTGAAATCTTAAAACAAAGTATTATTTTTTTGGGCGTAAATTAATTTTTAGTAATCCTTTTTGCCGGAAAAAAACAAGCAGAAAACTTACTTAAATTTTTCAATAGACTTCACAGAAGTCTAACAAAATTTTCAACACACTGACACAAAAAATTAATTTTATCAAGAAAATTTCATTTGAATCAACTATCATTTGGTTGTTAATTTTCAAATGAACATAATTTCATAGTAAATACCAGTTGTCTCTTCTTGAGATACATTTGATTGGGAGAAATCAAACTTCTCTAGAATTGAAGTGCCTTTTATTTGTCGCAATAATGAGAGTATTTGATTTCTTTCTAGCCAAAAGTTTACTAACCCCAGAAATTCGTTGGTTTACTCAAATATCAAAATTATTCTCATAACTCAATACGTTGTTATCTCAATCAACAAGATCATACGTTGTTCCAAGTAAATTATAATTGAAGTGAGCATTTCGTATGTCGAATCAGGATGAATATTGTTACTACGCGGAAAATGCTTTGAGATAATAGTAAGATGTCGTTAAGTTGAAAGAAGTTTATATATCTTAACTAAAAAAAATCGCATTAGTCTACAATAACAGAATCACAGATGACGCCAACTCAAACTTGGATATCACAAATTTCGTTCAATGTGACATCGGCTTCATTCAAGAAAACTACATTCAATTCCTTCCTCAATGTAATTATCTCCTAAGTACGAATTGTTGATCAATTGATGAAAGTAGAAAATTTCTCGACTAGAGATAATAATAGGTTAAAATAAATGTAACTTTTCCATTTTTGTGGTGAACACGTGTGACTTGACGCCAAGGGCTGTTTTATTCAATTCAAGTAAATGTATCTCAAGAAGAAATAATTGATAGTCACCGTAAGATCTAATTTATTTGGAATTGGTTCAAGTATATAATACTTGTTCCAACAAAGAAAGATCTCAATAAAAATAATTTTTTTACCAGTATAGGAGTTCAATGGAGATCCGATGGAATTTCCTACACTGACAGAAAAATAAACGTTATCAAACAAGTCTTGTTTGGGCTAACAAAATAGCTAGTTAAAAATTGCCAAAAAAGAATTTGTTTGGTCCGAATTTGAAAGTCTCCACCATGAATATTTGTTCTGCTTTCGACAGCAACAAAATATTTGGCTCGAGAGGCGGATAATTAACACCAGACGATGCTTTCTCAGGATGAAAATATCTCATATAGCGGGAAATTTATCAACAAATATTTTTCTTGCGTGTTAGAGAATGCAATTTTTTTTAACTACTAAATCTATTTTCGCCACAAAAACTTTTCATTCCGGCGCACTCTCTGCATATTTGGCCCAAAAAAATCCTTTTTTGATAATTTTCAAAAAACTATTTTCTTGTCACAAGTAAGACTTGTTTGAGAACTTTATCGTTTTTCTCTCCGTGTAGCGAAGTCTGATTTTTCCCGAGAATTTTCTGAAGAAAATCTTCGAAGTGGAGACGTTATAGAGGCCACTCATCGAAACACCTGTTTCAAACCCATAAAATGTCCTAGGAAAATGGTCATCCCCCAGTTCTCAATAAATCTCTCCCGGCGTTTATCTCTGATCTCACCAGTTACAGAGATAACTGAAATGATCTTCGTAACGTTTTAATACATAACAGAAAAGTTGCAAAATATCCGAAGAGTTCAAGGCGGCTTCCATTGATTATTAAATAATTAATGCTGCGCACATGAGCATGAAATTGAATGTGTCTACACCTTGACCAAATTTCGAATCAAATACCTCGAGGAGACTTTCACTTTTTCCCGTCTCAACCACAAATCTCCGGCGTGAAAAAAAAACTTTTCAAATATTTTCGTTTGTGCATAAAGTGCCCAAACAATTGCGATCCACTTTCTTCGCGTGCTATTGCAGAATTACCCCCAGGTAGCAGATGCAGACAATAAAGAAAGGGACAGGGGGTCCGTGGGCACAGGCATAATAAAAGTATCCCGTTATTAAGAGGGGTACTGAGACAAGCAATATCGGTATTTATACAGTCCTCTGTTTAACTCTACAAGCGTGCAATTTCAACGATCCTCAGGTATTAGTTGAAACGGCCGGATTTGTTCTCTGGTTTAGGTTGCAAAATTACACAGTGAATGATAAATACAACTCTTCACCTATTGTTCGGAACGTATGGAAACACTTGGCGACTGACACTGTTCACCAGCCGTGGGAGATCGCTGGGATACTGCAGGTGAATCGCGGATACCAGGAGATTGGAATAAAGGCCGTCCCCACCCTGTGCCTTCTCTCTTCCACCTCCAAAGGGATTTCACGGCGAAATCGAAATTTCACGTCGACACAGTTATGTTGGGAATTTCGACTGTTCATTTCTTTTATGGCACAATCCGCTTTTTCAAAAGGAGAGAATGAGTGGTGATAATTTTTCTGTTAATATCGTAAATTGTACCCCAATGGGATGAGTGATTCGATGAAAATAATTTGAGATTTTCATTGGGAACAAAATTATATTGACGAAAATCTGATGTCAATATTTTTCAAATTTGAATAGAAAGATTATTAAGCATATTGATTGTCGCTTGAACTCCTCTAGATTGAACATTTAAGAAAGAGATGTGAACTGATAAACACAAGAAGAATAATTTTATAAACACATTTATATTTTTGAATTTTTTAGCAGAATAAACCGCACGGTTTGAATTTTTGAAATGAAAAAAAATGTTGTTCAAATTCAGTTTCTTTGAGTTAATTTTATGATTCCTATTCTGACGATGATTTTATATGATGGACGTGGATCATGGACACTGCAATATTTACTGATAATTGTATTTTTATTTTAATGACAACGCTTTTTTACAGAAAAATAGTGTCATATTTTTTGTTATTTGTCCACCAATTGGTTGAGTGATTCCATAACCCTCGTGAAACCTCGTACTGAGTGATAATAATTTGTCCTTTTCATTGGACAAAAAAATCATATTGACAAAAATTCTGCAGCGAAGTGGTTAACTAAGATAAGTGCAAAAATGTAATTTTTTCAGGAGAGTTAAAAAATTTGACCACGTTTGAGAGAGCTTTCGATTCAAGCAATAGAAAAATTTTCAAAAAAATCACACTTTTCCTAGTTTATCACTTCGCTATAGAATTAGAATCCAGTGTTTCTTCAAATTCATTTTCTCTGAACAAAAATTGAAATTTCTACTCTGACGATGATTTTAAATATAATGAGCATTACAGTTGTATCATAAGACACCCGGAAATTTTTTAAGAATTTCATTGACTGTTTTTTTACGATAACCCATTTTCTCATATAAAAAATATTAATGACAAATTTTTAAAAACAAATTGTCCAACAATTGGCTGAGTGGTTACATAATATTTTCATGAGCGAAAAAATTGATTAAAAAAAATAAAATGGCATGTTTTTTTCCGAATTAATTTCTTTTCAGTAAGAATCGTAATTTCTACTCTGATTTTGAATTTTATAAGAGTAGACAAAACTTTATCGACCGTTTATTTTGCTGTAATAATCTCCTTTTTTTCAATACGAAAAATAAATGATGAAATAAAAAAGAACTGTTCCACATTTGCATCAGTGATTTCAACGTTTTTTTTATCTGTTGTTTTAATCCATTTCCTCGCAGTGAAAGTCTAATTCCTACTGCGATGATGATTCTTGATATGATAATCATAATTTCGTCCGGAAAAATATGCTTTTCTTGATTAATCTGACAGACCTCATGAATTCAGCAGCTGACTTTCAAATGGGCTCTTACTTCACACTTTAAAAAGGATTAGTTAACATGATTAGCCTTATTCTATTAGCGGGTTAAATATACCATCACTGTGGACTCACCCATTAGTCTGAAAAACCATCACATTTTTAATTTTATTCTTCATCCGGACATAAAATAAAACTATCAATTCCGTTTCTGTAAATTAAACCCAGTTGTACCAAACCCAGTCAATAAAATCCTCAGTTAAGTATCGAAATAAATAATAATAATCAGGCGATCAATTTTATTGGCTAAATAAATCGTTAGAATAAATTTATGTCTGGAATAAATTTATTCTATAGTTAAACAATGTTAGGAATTCGTTGGAGAGTGCTTTCATTCAGCCATTCGCTCATAAATATCTACTAAATGTTTTATAATCACTAGTATATTGGCAAACAGTGACAATACATCGATACACCAGGTTTTTTTAGCGACATACGATTAAAGGAAAAAATTTAATTACGATTAAATTACGATTAAAGGAAAAAAGAAAAATTGAGAAAAATTAAGGGGAGACTACTATGAGTTTTAAAAGTCGCGGGCTATGGGAATTCGATTTCTCATACATTGAAGATCGATTATATAGGGGAGGGTAGGGCAAAACGGACCGCAGGGCAAAACGGACCCCTGGGGCAAACCGGACTACTGACTGAAATCGGAAACGTTCAGTGAATTTTCAAGTTCATCGCCGAACAAAGTACGAAATTGTCACGTAATTTTTCCCAAAGGAGTAAAATCTTACAGAAACTTCCCGACTTATTATGCCTCCAAAATCAAAAATTCTTGAACGTTCAACAATTTTTATGAAGCTCGTGAGTTATTTCTACGTTCCGTTCCGTAAAATTTCTCAATCATTGGGGAAAAATTACGGGTCGACTTGTTGTCCCCACAGCGATGAGTCATCAGACGGGTAGTTAATTTTTACGGAACAAATCGTAGAAATAAAGATGAAATCATCATTTTCTCGATGAAGTCTCAATTACAAATAAGACGAAAATTCAACAATTGACCAAAATTTCAACTCAAAAACAAATATTCACTACTAAAATGAGTTGAATTTTCAACTGATTCAGAATTCTAGAAAATATTTCCCTGAATGTTCCCAATTTTTTCTTTATACTCACTGAATAATTGATTTACGTGGTGATTCGTACAATTTCAGTTCCGACTCACACCTTTCATTTAATTTTACTTCGCTCGCGGATTACATTTCGAAATGTAATTTTTACGTTTCTTGTGGTAATTTTTATTGAATTTTTCTCTCCGTGTGAACAGACAACAGAACTCTCCCAACAACTTACATTTTTCAAAATAGAATTGGGACTTTTCCGTAAGACCAAAACATAATTACAAATCAGTATTTTATTCTCCTCTTCTTCCTCCCCCGAAACGATTTATTTCCTCTCACATTCATAATTCCCAACTTGACACAGAAACATCCAAGAAGGATATTTCCCTGGTTGAATGTGTGCCAATGATGACTGATTTATGAATATTCTCGGAAAACTATTCAAGGGGCAGTGCCACGAAAATTCATGATGCTCCATTCCCAATTCCTGCGAAACAATCATCTACCTGGGCTCAATGAACTGCAAAAGGGGCGGGGTGAGGTGTAGGAAATGAGCGTAAGACGCAGTACACGACGGGCATTCATTGTCAATTATATTACACTTACCCTACGCTTCAACTGCAATAATTGACGCGTGACAAATATTTACCGTAACTGCAAGTTTTGAGGAAACAGACCAAAACAACTTGCCCATGAGCTGTGGGGGAAGAGGAGTTAAAAAAATATTTATGGGCATTGCATTGTTAGTGTTTTCCCAATGTGGGGAAACTGTTCATGCAGGTATCAATGCTGAGTTGGTACGTCCAACTGTTCCAAATAAAATACAGTTCTTCTGTTCGATGACTTTGCCCACTAATGTCAGGAGAATTAGTTGAATCTTTCATGAAATTCTCGGGGGATTATCCGGAGTTTAGGGAAAAATTGCACCCAATATTTTGAAGAGTTTCAACGCCTCATTAATTTTTCAACATAATTAAAGAAAACGTGGGGACAACAAATTATTTTTGTTCATTGTTAGAAAATTGCTCTTGAAGTTTTAAGTGAAAAAGCTTGAAATTTTTAATAACGAAGTCACATGAAATTTTTGGGGATTTCTTCATCGATGAATCCGGTAATTTCTTGAATATTTAAGTATCTCTTGATTTCCAGATCTATAAAAAACCAAACACTTGATAACCAGATGCACCCCCGAAACTCGACAGCACACATAAAAAATATAATAGGAAAACCTAACGAATTCGCTAGAAAATTCTATCGGATTTCGATTAAACATTAGATTGGTTTTTGGCCAATTCTATCGAAATGTTCAATAAAAAATATTCGGGAGAAAAAATGAATGAAATTCGATTTTCCTATAGAACTTATTCTATTGAGATATTGTCTACAAAATTTCCTCGGCTCAAATTTCTATTTTTTTCTGTTTTTTCGATTGATTTTCTTGATGAAAAGAAGAGGTAATAAAATGAAAAAACATAGAAAATTTGAGCCGAGAAAATTATATAGAAAATAACACTAGTAACACAATATGCTAGATTTAAATAATTCTAGAAAAAATAATGAAATAGAAATGGTTTTTCAAATGAATGATAAGTAGGCACGCCAAAATTCATTGGTGTGTATTTGAATCATCTTTAATTTATTCGGAGTCAGGTGAACGATTTTAAACGCCACTTGGAACATTTCAATCAGTTTGATAACATTATTTGTTAATTTCATGTGTCAAGAAATCTATTAAATAACATTAGCAATAAATTCTTATAGACTTTCTGTTAAAAGTTTATAAGAATTCTATTGGAGTTTTTTCAGAATCTTCTTGAAACTATTAAAAATGCTATTAATTTTTGCGCCGATTCCTATCTGAAATTATGCAACTTTGAATAATATTCCGAAATGCCGAATATTCCATTCTTCAAATTTTTTTCGTACGTAACGTAACATTTTGAATAATTATACTCAATATTTCTTGATTTTCTCAAACATTCTCCAATATCATAGGTATTTGTTATGAAAATGATAAAAGAATATGAGAAAATCCACTTCACATAAGAAATTAAGACAACAGTTATTGATAAAAAAAATAGATTTTTGACAAAATTTATTAATATCCGTCTAGACGCTGCGGAGATACACTGAGAGAAAAACTAACATGTTGTCAAACAAGCCTTGTTTGGGCCAACAAAATCGCTAATTGAAAATTGCCAAAAAAGAATTTTTTGGTTCGAATTTGAAAGTCTCAAACATGAATAATTGTTCTGCTTTCGATAGCAACGAAATATTTTGTTCAAGAGGCGGATAAGTCACACTAGACGGTGCCTTTCCAGGATGAAAATATCTCATATAGAGGAAAATTTATCAACAAATATTTTATCCCTAAGTTACAAAATTGCTATCATATCATTATTATTGTTTTATTTAAGGGTTCATTTGTTGTCTGTGATTATTAGACAGCCAAAACGAAAAACTACTATCCCTTGTTTCGCATAAAACAAAGATTGTTCGGGAGCAAAATACGTATGGGAGTATCGAATAACGAAGAAGTAGTGCTAGAAATGACATTTCTTGTGTGTACAGAGAATGCAATTTTTTTTTAACTGTTAAATCTATTTTTGCGACAAAAATTTTTCATTCCAGCGCACTCTCTGCATGGTGCCACAAAAAAATCGTTTTTTGATCATTTCCAAAAAACTTTCTTGGCACAAGTACGACTTGTTTGAGAACTTTGTCATTTTCCTCTCAGTGTATGATGGAAGATGATGGCACCCCTGAATATTTCGTACAATTCTTCCCCCTTATCTTCGCAAAAATGAAAAATAAAGAAAAACAACAATACAAAAAATTCTCACAATTATTATTCTCATCTAATCAAAATGAATGATCAACCCGTCGTCACTTGCTCGATCAAGGAATATTTATCTGTATTTAAATAAAAAAATCACACCAAAATGCAGTAAATAAAATCTTCACTCAAGGAGACTCAATGTTCAGGTAAACTGCCAGTAGAAAGGTAAACAATTAAAACCAGGAGACAATTTATGACCCCCTTCGAGCAAAGGGCCCCGTACAAGAGGCGTCCGGGAGGCCGTAATCCCGGTGTCCCGGACGTCTGGCGTCCAGGCCACTCGTAAAAGCAGTCATACACGAAGAATCCGGAACTCTTGCAACCGATATGTAATTTATATGAAGTGGCGTCATTTCATTTTCTCCTATGGCTATTTTATTTCATTTCCGTTTTGTTTAGCGAAGAAAACCAATAATTTGTACATGGAATGTGAGTCATAACACAATATTGACCTGAATAACTGGAAACGTCTGGATTCTAAATGACCCCTAGTCCTTTAAAACAGCCTGGAAAAATATTCAGGATATCCCAAAATAAATTTCTGTGGCAAATTAGTAAACTGGGATAAGTGCAATTTTTTTTGAAAATTTTTCTATTGCTCGGAGAAAAATGTTCAGTAAAAATTACGGGACTCACAGTTCCCTCACCGATTACGGAATCGACTCAGAAAATTTGAGTGATGGTATCGTAATTTTCCACAGGGGATTCAGGTAAAAATTACGGAACGCTCTGGAAAAATTCCGTGATTTGAGGTGAAAATTACGTGACAGTTCCGCAAAATTTCCTACAACCACATTGCCCTCCGGAATTGCGGAAAAAACACGTAATTTTTATTGAATATTTCTCCCCGTGCGCTTGAATCAAGTTCTCTCAAATGCCGTCAAATTGTTGTACTCTACTGAAAAAATTCCATTTTCGCACTTATTTTAGTTTATTTCGTTACAGATTTGACATAGTGCGAGGGTACCTCGCTACTTCTCGATAGAGAGATCACACCTCTTTTCCCATTTCAAATATATCCCAAAAAAAATATCACCCAAGGTTTTTTTTCAAAATTTTTAAAAAAATGTGTACAGTAACAATGACGAATGAAATTCGATCCTATACAGCTAATTTCGTTTCATTTAATATAAAAATTTGCGCCATTCATGTAAAATAGGCAGAAAAATAATCCTTAAAATATTCAAAATATATTCTCGATTCTTTCAGAAACATTATTCGGGCTATTTTACACGAATGGTGCGATTGTTTATTTAAAAAACAATGAGATTTGCTGTGTAGGAGTTGAATTTCAAAAAACTAATTCGTAATTGTTATTGCACATAGTTTTTCCACAATCTTGAGAAAAGTCTTGAACATTTTAAGCGTTTGCAGGGAAGGCGAACCATAAACAATTATGTTTTTGCATTAATGATTCATTTCTAGACATAAATAAACGATCTTCAATGTATGAGAAATCTCATTCCAATAACCCGCGACTTTTAAACCTCGTAGTAGTCTCCCCTTAAAAAATTTTGGAACAAATCTTCTGCCAAAAGTTGTTTTCCAAAATCGAAGCACATTAAAGTAGCTCTACCTACGAAATTAGTTTGAAAATTTCGAAGAAACGATGGCCTTCTGTGACGCCTTAAGAGACTACAATCCGTGCCAATCCACCCAACCAATCCCCCGTAATCCCTGTCATAAATGTTCCCCTATTGTTTGAGGCTCATTGACGAGCTTGGCGAAATGTCACCACAGGTAGGACACCTTGATCGCCAGACTAGGTCCCCGGAAGCAGCGCAGAGACAGGTCGTCCTGCCGAGGGGATTTGACCCGACTCCCCCATTGGTCAGCACTCGCCCCTTGCCCCCACCCCCTTCCGACCCTTCAGGTCCTCCGACATTATTTAAACCCCTGCAATCGCCGAATTTTCTTCAGTTGCAAAATTAACATTATAGAGAAAACAACTAGTCTCCGGACAATAACTGAAGTGAATTCGTTGTGGACAATAAATAAAACTGAAAGTTCTCCGGCTCTCGTCAAATTATTTGACATTTTCCTGTGTTTCGGATCAATATCGCGAAGTCATTTATTCAACAATGGCTCTTTCTACATCTTGGATAAAAAAAAACATGTTCCCAACTTGTGATGAGAAGAAGGGATTGGATACCAGCCCAAACAGGCGGCTGACGGAAGCGGAAGTCAGAGTGAAGAGATCTTTGGAGAAACTTTCGATTCCTGAGTGGTACCTGAATAATTCCTCCAAACCACCGAAGATTCTGATAAATAAAAGTGCACTTGAGAATCGCCCTGCACCCTGGAAGAATAATAGGAAGAATTCCTCCATGTCTGCGCTCACCACTAAAAATTTCAAAGGTAAATAATTGTTTTGACAACTGGGATGAGTTTTCTTGAGATATTTATACTGAGGATGTTTTATTGTGATAACGTATTTAATGGATTCAACTAGTTAGAAAATTTCGAGTTTTTTCTTATATGTAGGAGAATGATAACTCCGGTGTCACTGTTATCAAGAAAATTTTAGAGAATTCTCGTGTTTCGAGAATCTTCTCCAAAAGAAATCAATTCTCTTCTAAAACTGACGTTCTTCGATGGGGAAAAATTCAATTTATGAAATCTTGAATTTTTGCAAATTTAATTAATGAAAATCTTCCCCCATCGCAAGACTTGATAACTTGCAAATGTTATCCATTTGATAAAAGTTTTTTTGTATCAAGTTTATTGAAAATAATGCAAATACATGGTGCATTATTCTAATTTTTTTGATAGAAAAAAAATCTACAGATGTTGATTTTTCTGTATAATTTATTCTATTCGAATTTTTTCTATAAAAATTCTTTGGCTTCTTCGGCACGAAATTTCTAATTTTTTAAATATAATTATGAGAAATAAATATAAAAATTGCCAACAAGCGTTGATAGATTATAGACTTTTGTCTCAAATATCTGTAAAGAAATGACACGATAAAGTTGCCCAATAAAATTATTTGAGGATATCCAAGTACTTTAGCTCTTTTTTCTTCAGTGAAATGCTCTTTTCTTTTTGTAGTCGAATATCAGAGCTTTCATTTGAGCCCCATTTGACCCTAAGTTTCCGGAATTTTTACAATGATTGTATTATTTGAACTATACCGATCTTTTTTTTTTTATGCTTATTTTATATCGCTTCGAGTCTGATGAGACTATATGGCGATTGATCAAGACTTCAAAAATGGTTAGATCTCACCATTCTACCCGGCCAGGAATCGAACCTGGAACCTGTCCGTTGTGAGGCAACGGCCTTAACCACTACGCCAGGCCACCGGGCGACTATACCGATCTGAATTTGAATCTCGATCTGAAACCGTTAAAAAAAATTTTTTAAACCTGAAAAAAAAATTCGAAAGCTTATTTTTAGAGGAAGATTGAAGAAGTAATTTAACAATTGCAATTTTTGAAAATTACGAGTATTTTCCATGAATAATTTCTAAACAATCAATTTTCCATCATAAAAATCATCTGTTCAAAATTGTATAATAACAAATTTATTCATATTTAGAATTTTACCAGAAATGGATTTCATACTTAACAAATAGAGTTTCACACAGGGAAAAATTTAATAGAAAAACCTAGTGAATTTGTTCGACAATTCTATTGAATTTGTATTGAACTTACTATTAGTTTTTGGCGGATTCTATTGAAATGTTCGACAGAATTCAATTTTTCTATATAACTTATCCTCTTCAGATGTTTCTATAGAATTTCGTCGGCTCAAATTTTCCAAGTTTTTTCATTCTATAAAACAAAAAAACTTGAGTCGAGGAAATTCTACAAAAAATATCTCAATAGAATCAGACAAAAACGAATAAAAAGTTCAATAGAAATCAATTAGAATTTTCTAACGAATCCGCTTAACTTTTCTATTCAATTTTTTTATCCGTGTTCCGGAACTTTAATTATTTATTTATAAACAACGAATTTTATATAAATCTCACAATTATGCAATTGTTTATCCAAATTTTAATTTAAATGACGATGAATATTTAATTTACAAATGTGATGATTGAAAATGGTTGAACCTATAATGTGGGCTGTACCAAACTGAAAAATACTTGGATATCCTTAAGCACTTCTAATAATGAAATCGAAATTTAAGTTTTTCTGAAAAAAAGCTAGATTTTCTATTAAATTTCTCCCCACATGCTAATCAATAAATGAAATTCTACTAATCAATTAATTCCTCTAATCTAAATGAATTCCTCCAATCAATTATTTAAATTCCACAACCTAATTTCCATTTTCATTTGCTTCCAGGAAGCAACAAATCCGTCTTCTCCGACGCTCAGAGCTTCACAAACTTACACAAGCTCTACCGGCAGGTCCAAAAAACCCAAGACTTCACCTCAAAATCCCCGGACAGCTCAATGATCGCCCAGAACGGCACCCTCGAGCGCAAGCACTCAAAACAGAAGAAGCGCCTGAACGCCAGCGGCACCTTCCCCCGGATGTCGATCTCCCGAAAGATCCAGAACATTAACATCGTCCTGCCGCCCCCTCCGAAGCTGGACCTGAGCCTAGAAGCTCTCAACGATTTGAAGTTCTCCCTACCGAACGAGGACCCCCCGTCAGAATCCAAAAAGATAATGGTGACAGACCTGGACGACCCGGACCCCGAGTGCCTGCGCATTCGTCGTCAGACGTACACCAAGCCGACAACTCCCAAGAAGCCGAGGAGCCCAGACTGCTCGATCCCCTGCAGAACCCCCGACTTCAGGTCCTCGTTTCTGATGAACTTCAAGGTCCGAACGTCGTCTACGCCCCAGGGGTCCCCCGTCTCCGTCTTCTCGACGTCAACAATGGAATCTCCGATATCCAGACCTATTCGTCGTGAGTCTGTCTTCAACTTCTCGGACATCATCTCCTGCTCACCCCCGGTCAAACCCTTCCGTCAAGCCTCTCCAGAGCCTTACCACAAGTCCCTGTTCTTCCTTCCCCGAGTCGAAGCCCCCCCGCCCCCAGAGGTTAAGCCTCCGATCCTCAAACCTCCCCGTAAAGACGCCCCCAAGCCCCCGAAGGAGTCCCCCCCAGCACCGGAACCAACAGCTCCCCGCAGACCATCACCTCGACCGACATCATCACCCTCCAGCCTCCTCGAGAAGCTCCAGCTCTGCGACTCCTGCAGGGCCGACAACGTTCGCATTCGCGTGATCATGGTGTCCCCAGCGCGATCCCCCAGAACGTCTCCATCATTCCGCAGTCCCCTGTTGCCGATCAGTGAGGACCAGAAGATGACTGTGTCACGCAACAGCTCCAACGCCTCCTCCAACCTGGCGTTCATCGTGTCGAAGAAGAAGTCGACAGCAATGGAGAAGATAATCAAGAAGACACGGACGGGGGAGATGTCCCTCATTCAGGACATCATCGAGGAGCTCCAGGAGAAGTGCCGGTCCTCCCCCCAGCCGACGTACACGTCCCCGGGGTCCAGGAAGTTCGTGAGGAAGCTGGTGAGGGCTCTCGAAAGTACTGACACTGATGAGGACGAGAATGGGTACGTGAACTGCAAGAGTGAGACTGAGACCTGCAGCAGTGAGGGGGGCAGTGATGCGGATATTAAATCGGCGGCGTCGTCGACATCTTTGAGCTTCAAGGAATCTGACAGTGGGAGTGAGGGTGAGCCGAGGTCGCCGACCCTGTCGTCTGAGCCGGATTACGACTGGATGATCAATGCTAAGAAGGAGGAGAAACTCAAGGAGGAGGAGGAGGATGAGGAGTCTGTCTTCTGGGTCCCAGTGAAGAAGTCGCTCCCCAGGACCAGCTCAATGCTCAGTATGATAACGACCTCGGGATCCGGGAGACAGTCCCCCTGCATTAGCCCCATTAGAGTACAGCACGGGGCCAGAACGTTCCAGTGGGGAAACTCCTGTGACAGCTGGGGGAATACGTATAGGCAGAGCAAGAGCCAGCTGCCCAAGAGACTCTTCAGGATCGATGAATCTGGGGTGATTGATTCGGGATATTCTGACAAGTCGGAAAGATCTTTCGTCACTGATGCTGGAGCCTCCTGGTCGGATTTCGAATCGACTCAGAGCCCCAGTGACCTCGAATCGTTCTCTGGGACCATCTCCAGGCCGAACAAGGCAATGGAGAGGGGAAATGTTTTCATTGGGCATTCCATAGTGGTTTAGGGGCTTCGCGGGGCAATTCGGGGGTTGCGAGACTAGTCGATGAGGAGGGATGCTATTATTATTTGATAATAATTTTCGATAATTAGGGGAGTCGTAATTGATTGGTATTTTTTAATCAAATTATTTTTACTGATGTTTTTATTCTTCTTTCTTTCATTGAGGGCGTTCTGAATGTAAAAAATGTATGGAAATTATTGGTTTCATTTTTCAATTTAAGATTCTTTGGAGAAAGTAATAGTTATTGACTTCTATTATAGATATTTGTACTTGTTCGAGAGCTGTTTGTAAAAAATTTTGACTAAAATTATATCTAACGAAAAAAAAAGGATTTCTGTTTCTAATTGATGGGAATAAAATTGTACAGTTAATTTATAAGAATTTTTGAATAAAATTATTTCTAAAAATATTTTTGGGTGTTCCTCTTATTAATAGCCTTCCGAATGAAAAAAATTACTAAAATTATTCATCCAATTTGAGCAGAGGCTTTCCCAAAAAGAACATGAGAGTTTTCACTAGTTTGACATATGCTTATTTAAAATTTTTAAATTAAATTACATCTGACAGAAAAAAAAGGATTTATGCTGTTAATTAATTTATAAAAAAAACATCTTTGAACATTTGATATTTTATTGAAAAACGGAATCCATCATTTTCACTTCTCCATCGAGTAATACATAATAATGAACAAATTAAAAAATAAAAGTAAAAAAAACATGAAAATTATTGATCTCATATTCAACTCTGAGATTCTTCAAAGAAGCAAATAGAAGTTACTGACGTCTAACATTATATTCATTCTCTTTTTCGATAACTATTTGTGAAAATGTTCAGAACAAATGGAATCTGACAAGAAAAGAGAATAAGTCATCAATTAATTGATAAGAAAAAGAATGTTCACCATTGTTGAGCCTATGATATTGAAAAACAGTATTCATCGTTTTCCTGCAACGATTTTACCCTCAAATAATACCTGATAACAAAAAATCAGAATATAAAAGTAAAAAAAGAGTCATAGAGAAAAAAAACACAGTGAATATTTTTATAACTCACTGCTGTAGTAACTCAAATAAAGCTATAGTTGAAAAAATAAAAATACTTTTTTCATCTCAAGCACACCGTCGTTGTTCACGCCGAAAGCAAGCCTTCCTCCACAAGTTTGGACTGAATCTCCGGCAATTTAATCTGGTACTCGTCCCCATCAAAACTGACAATTTCAACTTTGTACGTTTCATTCTGCAGCAGAAGAGTCTCCAGTCTCGCCAGCACCGGTGGTGCTACCTCAGAAGTGGCTGGATCAATGAAATCATAAAGACTGCAGACACAGCCGAAGGCCTCTGGCTTCAAAAAATCCCGCGTCATCTCCCTGATATCAGTGTGCAGAACCTCCGATAAATTACCGAAATCGAGGAAGAATACGAGAGCAGACGTGGCTGTGGCCTTGGAGTTGAAGCAACAGCCTCTGTACCACTGGCCATCCTCGAAGAGAGCGATGCAAAGTTCGTTGTCACGTGGAATGTAATGACTCGACGACTCACTGTACTTCTTCATCATTTCTGGCATGACACTCGTCACGTGAACAATCATTTCCGTGTCTTCTGGTCCAAACACGAACTTGCATCCTGGCTGGATGGTCTCGAGGAACAAAGCAGGAACAGTCTCACCAATGCTACCAAGTTTTCCAGTAGCCATGTCGTTCAACGTGAAGCACTCACTGTTGCTGATTGGCTGAAGAATGACGACCTGTTCCTTTGGAGTCGATTGTGCCTCTGAAGCTGGTGGAGCTGACGTTTCTGCAGCTGACGATTGACAATTTTCGTTTTTCTTGCCCTCTCGTTCCCACGTTGGTGTCAGTAACTGATTAATCTGATCATTGAAGCTCTTGCCCGTTGCAGTACTCTTGAGAATCACATGGTCTTCATCCTTGATCGAGCTGTGCCGTTGATACACAAACTGCTCCTCACAGGCAACAGCATTTGCCAGATGAAGAACAGCCTCTTCAGTTGGAGGGCCCGACTTGATACCGTAGAGTTTCACCTTCTTGACGCAGCAGACTTCATTCATCAGAGATTCTGGCATTACTCTCAGTTTGTCCAGAGTTGTCATTTGTATGTCGCCATAATCAATGTAAACTACTTTGATCTGCTTCGTCTCAGGGTCTGAGGAAAACACCATGGCTCTGTAGTAGTTGCCATCCTCAAATTGGGTTAAAACATACTCAGCAGGTTGTGGAAGTGACTCTAATGGTGATGATGTCAAAGCACACTTGGCTACTGTCTGCATCAAACGATTGTGTCTCTCAATTTCTTCAGGTTCAACACTTCGAAGAAAGAGCAGACTGGGGCTGCGATACGACTGAATCATCACATTGGTGTTATTTTTCAATTCAACACGTTCAACTATTCTTTTCGCCTCTGATGACGAATTTTCCACCTTTCCTTTGTCTTTCTCTTCACGATTATTTTTGTTGTTTGTCTCGCGAACTGTTTCTTGTCCTGTAGTTCCTGGGTCATTAATTTTCGTATCAGGAGTCTCTGTCAGCGTCACGTCCACTTTAGAGAATTCTACTTCCCATGGAGTCCATTCATTCAATTGCAGTCCTTTCGTTATGACTGACTGATCATTCTTCATAGTCACCTCCACCACAGCCCTAGCATCATTGTTACTCTTCGAGTTCATGGCTGCAGTCACATCCAGTTCTACCACACTTCCTACCTCAAGGGAAGCCAAGGACGACTGGTCTGAACTAGTATTCATGATTGCAGAGAAAATACAAATGTCACTGTATTTAGGAGTCAGTGGGATTATCTTCTCCACAGAAGTGATGATGGCTGCCTCGTCGAGAGAAGCAATCTCAATGCTTGGTGGTTGATACTTCAAAACGTAACCACGGACCCAATACTCATCATCTGGTTTCTTGACTGCAACCAAGTCGTCAACATGTGGCTCGTAATTGACGCAGCTCGCTGCTCTTCCATCGCAGTCATCCTTGAATGGAGTCAGCAAACTCTCGAATGCCTCATTGATGGCATCAAAGCTGACGACAACTCGAACTGCCCTAGTATCAATGACATATGCAATTTCTGCGACGAGTTTCATTCCTACAGTGACAGAATTCAATACACTGGGAGGTCTCTTAGCCGATGGTGTGGCTGACGGTGCAGCTGGTGTAATTGCAGCAACAGTAACTTCTTCAACTGGCGTTTTCTCCTCGAACATGTCGACATTGATGACGTGAACTCCATTCTCAGTCTTCACATTTATTTTTTTCACTGACATCACCGCATCAATATCAAGATCCTTGGATTTGTCAAAGAATTTCTGCGGCAGTTTGATCAGTTGTGAAAATCTCGGTGGCTCTGCCAAACTTCCAATAGCCTTGAAACCACTGGCTGATGATGACAACTCTTCAGCTGTGCCCCAATCAATGTAATCGACAATTGTAGGATTGAAGGACAGAAGAAGCCCACGATGCCAAACGTTATCATAGATCACTCCATAGATTTCCCCAACGACTGGTTTATCAACTGATGGACATTGTTGAATACTTTCATTGAGCTTCTCCATCAATTCAGCGATTTTCGGATTGTCCTCGATTTTCTGAACGAAAAACAATTTTCCAGGCTCTTTAACAGAGGTAATCAGCACTTCAGTGAAACTTGATGAGGGAAGAAAATTGTCAGCATTGGAACGAGTCATCGCATGAGCATTACGAATACTTTTGGCTCCACTGTTGTCTCCTCGTGGCACTGATGGGCTTGCTGCAATAGTTTCCACAGCTTGTTTTGAAGCCGGTTTTTCAACGCGAGGCGAAGTATTTTCCTGTTTAGCTTGTGGAGTTACAGCGGATGTTGTTGGGGCCGCAGGTGTTTCCACAGTAACAATTTTTGTTGGAATTGGTTCGACCACTGATTTAGGGCGTCGAAGGGGTACCTTCTTCTTCTCGTCTACTTCTCCTTGAATTTTACCAGCTGGCTGACTCGTCTTTTTCACTTCCATTCCCACAACTGGCTGTGAATCCACTGGGACATTTGTGTCAATCTTGTTGCTGCACTGGTGAGAGTTAGCACCGACCAGAGGAGGAATTTTTCCACACTGTTCTTGATGCTTTGGCCAGTCAGCAGCTTGACAGGCTCGACTGCAGTAGAATCCCTCACATATTGAGCAGCACAGTGTTGCATCTCTTGAACAGTGCATGCATTCCCCACAGTAATCTTTACACTGATCTGATCCATACTTGTAGCACCCTGAATGTCGAATCTCGTAAATTTTGGCAATATCGTTGATGATTCTTGGACGAGGTTCAGATATGTTGTATGATGTGTGCCCTCTGCCCATTGTTACGTGTCTACGTCCTGCGGCGTCGACTGTCAGGGACCCTCTCGTCCACAATGCATTTGTATCAGCGTACTCAATCCTGTCGTAAGGATAATGCACAAAATTTGGGGACATCACTGGGTAAGCTGGAGCAATGGAATATTCACGTGCAGGAAACTTGTTGCGAAGTAATTCAACGGGTGAATCGTGACTTGCGTGGTGAGAGTAAGTGACACTGGTCTTGGGCAGCACGTGGTCTTGTTCCATCAATGAGGGGACTGGTGGGGAAAGCTCGTCTGGGAATTGGCCTGGCTGGACCTCCTCGTGTCTCTCGACTGACTCTTCCTTTCTTTTTCGACGAAATTGGACCCTCAAGTCCAGTGGAGGCCTCCCATCCAGTGATCTTATTGCATTTTCTGCTTCACTGTATGTTGCGTAGGAGATAAACGCAAATTGGCCGCCCCGTGGAGCGATTATTGCCTTTACAGTGCCATATTCCTTGAAGATTTTCGCGATTCCATCCTGTTTTTAGTGCAATTGAAGGAGACACGGTTATTTTGATTTTATAAATTCAAATTTATCTGGGAATGGATGGAAATTTACTCACCTCGTTCAACTCAAGGGGCAAGTTGGTCACGTACAAGGAATAATCCTCCCCGAATCTGTGGAGAAGAGAATAGGATATTATTGGAATGTGTATTTAGATAAGGAGAGCGCACTGTGGAAAATTTTTGGCTGCATTTTCCGGTACACATGTTCGAAAACATTTGATAGAAAAACCTAGCGAATTCGTTAGAAAATTCAGTTGGATTTCTATTGAATTTCTATTAAACAATTTATTATTTTTCGCCGAATTCTATTAAAAAATTCGGCAGCTTTTCTGACAGTTTTCTTAAATAAAAATGTTCAATAGAAAATATTTTTGTAAATAATTCCTCGACTCAAATTTCTCAAGCTTTTTTGTTTGATTTTTTTTATGAAGGAGACCAAAATTATGTAGAAAAAATTTGGAAAATTAGGTCAGAAAATTCCTACAGAACATTCTCAACAGGAAATGTTGTATAGAAAGATCAAATTCTACACATTTTTTCTGTAGAATAATTTTTATTGGACTTTTTCTAGATTTTATTAAATTAATAGATTCTATTCAATTTTTTTTATAAAAAAAAATAAGTAGTGAAGCTACAGAATTTTTTAATTGAATCGACGAAGAAGTAATAGAATTTTAGTTTAAAAATCTTATATAATTTTTTAAAGACAGCGCTAGGGTTATTTATTCATTATTTTCATACGTGAGGGTAATTCGATTTTTTCAATACGAAGGTATCTCATAATTTCTAAAGTAACTCTGGTATTTCACAATTCCCATTGCAACTCAGTTTTTGTAGACAATTTTGTCTAACTCAGGTCAAATTAACATAAGATTCATTGCATTAACGCTGATGAAATAGTATTTAACTGATTCAGTCGATAAATTGGAAATCGCTATTATGTTGAGGGTGTCATGAATGTCCTTGAAAAATGAAATTTTTCAATGTTTGCTAAAATTTTTTTTGTCATTAAGAATGTCCAAGTATCCTTTGTAGTTTGGTATAGACCACACTATAGATTCAACCATTTTGAATCATCAAATTTGTTGATTCAATTGCGTGAGAAAAATTTGAAAAAAAATCGTGAGTATTCAGTATTATTCAAATTACATTTTGGATAGACGCACGAAAAAATTTCATAAAAAAACCTAGCGAATTCAGTAAAACTTTCTATCGGATTTCTATCGAACTTTCTATTAGTTTTTTGCCGATTCTATTGAAATGTTCGATAGGAAATATTCAAAAGAAGAATGCAATAGAATTTTATTTTTTTATACAACTTCTTCTCTTCAGATATTTTTATAGAATTTCCTCGGCTCAAATAAGCTACGTTTTTTTTCATTCTATTTTTAATTTCTTCTCATCAACCAAAAAAAATTGGAAATTTTGAGCCGAGGAAGTTCTATAGAAAATATCTCATCAATAGAATAAGTTATATCAAAAAATCGAATTCTATTGACTTTTTCTATTAAATATTTTCTGTGGAACGTTTCAATATAATCGGCCAAACACTAATAGAAAGTTCAATAGAAATCCAATAAAATGTTCTAACGAATTCGTTGGGTTTTTTTATTAAAATTTTTGTGCGTGTAGGAATTAGAACATGAGCAAATCATTTATAGTAATATAAAAATTCAACAGCTGATAAATTGCGAGATATGACTCCCATCGGTCGTATTGTTTTTTACAATGAGAGAAATCATAAACAATTAATTGAAAAAATGAATATCGAATGTGACAGGAAAAAGGGCATAATGAAAGGGCATCAATTGAAAATGAACATTTCAAGATTAGAGAGAAGATTAAAATCTGGAAAAAATCTCGAACAATCAGTGTCGTACTTTTCTAATAAATAATTCATGTTTCTGGGTGCTTCGAAATGGCGTGCTACGTCCGAGTGGCCGCGCTGCGCTGATTGAACTCTGGCCGTACCATGGAGGGGGAAATATTATTGAATATACAGGGTTCCCACTGATTGAAGCACCCTAGTCAAACGAGAAACTATTGTTCAAATAAATAATTGAAGGAATAATGTGATGGATTAATTTATTACTTTTGTCAACGCCAGAATTCCCGTAAAAAATTATCGATGATGAATTAGTTTTTACACCATTCCGAATTTATTTTTCGTTACACTCAGTGACTCAACTGGAGTTTATTCATATTGTTCTAAACGCTGCAAGTAGCGTGATCATAACAGTTGAATGGGGACAAATGAAAAACTGAGGTCAAGGAGCCCTTCAAAATTTTAGTATTTTTTGAAAATCGGGATTCCGGGGATATATGAGATATCTTGCTTCAAATGAATTCAATTATAGCTTAAAATGTTAGTATAGTTTCAATGCCACACTTTCGAAGTTGAGCCATAATTACGATATATTTGTCGATTTTATGTTTATAATAATTTTTTCAAATTTTGAATTTTCTATAATATATTAATGATAATAATAATAATAATAATAATAATAATAATAATAGATAACAATGGCTTAAATGGCTCATGTAGATGACAAACCTGTGGAATGCAGAATCGATAAAAAAGCCATTTTCAATAACTAGGAGACCGTTGAACGAAAATATAAACACCGAAACGTGACTTGACGAAACGCGATTAGAATGTCAGCCGGAGAAGTAGCAATGGGGTGAGGGGAGTGATACGACCACAAAAAAGACAATCGTTTATATGAAAAAACGGAATGGTAAGAATAATCTCATTCAATTTAATAACATGAAATAAACAATAAATTATGTACCATAGAAGAAAATGATGTCCAAAATGACCACTCGAAAGCGTTTTGCCAATTTTTTAGCAAAAATAACTATACCACTTGGAGACAAGAGCAATTTCCCACTTGTTTAAGAATGTTAAACCAAAATGACAAACATTAAAAAATTTCTGTTTTTTTTTGCAACTGTTACATTACTAAGTTATCTTCATGTCAATGAAAATTTTATCTCCCCACCCGAGTTAATTATTTAGAAGCAAAATAGACAATAAAGTGTTAAACATCTGCATTATTATTTGCCCGGTACCCCAGGTTTTCCCTTGGTCGTGGAATTCAGTATCTATAGGGAAGGGTGGGGTAAAATGAACACTTCACTTTGTTTGAAATCTTATTGACCGGTTGAATTGTTGATGAAATTGATTTTTTTTTTCAATGAAAAAAACAAATTTTCCCCTCTGTGATAAGTCTGAATTGATCTCAATTGATAAATCTGTTTGAGTTTTTAATATTTTTTAAAAAGTCAAAAGTGTCCATTTTAGCCCAGCTTCCCCTATTTTTTGCACATTGCCTTATATTTCCATTTTTATTTTGGAGGCTTTCAGTAGGTGAATTATCACTTTGGAAATGAATGATAACATTTCTGTAGTGAATTGGTAACTAATTGGTTACCAGATGAGTGCATTTTCGAAAAAACTGCTTGCATAGATTGATGGGAAGGGATTTAGCCAAAAAAAAAAATTCGAAAAAAAACCTCTTATCCTACTCTACCAATTCAGAAAATTAACGATTTTTTGGAACATTAAAAAATTTGAATATAAATAGTTTGTAATGATTCCGAATAAATGATTTTTATGGTGGCAAATTGATTATTTATAAATTATTTATAGAAATTGCTCGTAATTTTCAAAAATTGCACTTTTTAAATTATTTCATCAATCTTTCTCCAAAAGTAAACTTTCAATTTTTTTCCGATTTTTTGAATGTTTTCTAACGGTTCTATATCGAGATTCAAATTCAGATCTGCAAAGTTTAAATCATAAAATCATTGTAAAATGTCCAGAAACTTAGAAAAGCCCTTCACTGGAGACGAAATAGACATCGGATATCCTGAAATTGCGGGAGAAAAATTTGAAAAAAAATCATGAATATTCAGCATCATTCAAATTACATTTTGCACAGAATTATTAGTTTTTGAAACATTCTTTGTTTATAAATAAATAATTGAAATTAAACTTTTAGAAACCTTATTTTTAGGCATGAAATCGATTTTTGGTAATATTCTGAATATGAATAAATTTGTTGCGATTCTGAACAAATAATTTTTAGGGTGGAAAATTGATTGTTCATAAATTATTCATAGAAGATGCTTGTAATTTTCACAAATTGCACTTTTTAAATGATTCCATCAATCTGCCTCCAAAAGTAGACTTTTTAATTTTTTTCCAGATTTTTAAAATGTTTCCTAACAGTTCAATATCGACATTCAAATTCAGATCTGCAAAGTTTAAATAACAAAATCACTGTAAAATGTCGAGAAACTGAGGGTCACATTAGGTTCAAATAAAAGCTCTGATGTTCAACTACTAAAGTAGAAAATCATTTCACTGGATAAAAAACAGCCAAAGTACTTGGATATCCTCAAGCCCCTCATTAAAAAAAACATTAATAAAACCTCATTGACTTTCGAGAGGAGCCTCACGCTCCGGGGTTGACCGACTCCCTGTGGAATGCCTGATACAATACTCCTTTGTTCTCTCGAGTTACTGTTGACTGCGAGAAAAAAAACAGAAAAATTTTTGGGTCTTACCGTACACTCGGCTTGCACGATTCCGGCATTCTGTCGTGTCGACGAATCCAGTAGATTCAACTCCAATACCTCAGCTTTTGGTCCCGATCGAAGCTAAAGCTCCTGCAATAATAAGAGAAACCGAGAGAATAATCAAACACGTGTGTAGAGACGAAGCACGTAATTATTGCGAGCCCATGTATCAACATATTCTAGAACGCAAAAAGTCAACTTTCCATAGAACATTTTTATCCGAAATAATTATCGATATATTACTCTTTTTCTTTCTCCGGAGGCACTCGGCAGTCTACTCTTGAATATTTCGATCGTTAAAACTGGACAGCACGTATGCAATTCGCCTTGATAAAGGGAACTGACAATAGACAAAGGATTCGACTGGCTCGGACCGGCTAAAATGGCGGTAACTGAATCATGTGGTTCGTGAATACATCAACACAAGTCAATTTATCCTGAATTCTAAACTAAAATTTCTTTTTTCTGCGTAATTACCGCGAAAAGTAGACGGGAAAAATAAATAATGATTTTACAAACTGATTTCTCGGTGGAATATCGACGGAACGAGTGAATTTTTGAAAGTCATATTGAGTATATATATGCACTTCCGTCTGGCACAGGAAATGATGATTTTTCTGCTCGAAAAAAGTGGAACTTTAATTCTAAAAAGGAGAAAAAAGTAGGATAAAAATTCCATCTCACCATTTCGTAATGTAAATGAGAATATTTGACGCCTCATAAGTCCAAAATTTTTAAATTTAATGGAACCTGGGGGAATGCAAATGTCCCCAGCGCGAGAATCTAGGGGAACAACGGTTGGAAGTGATGGCGATCCTGGCAGTATTGCAGTGTTCAGTTTTTAGGCCAGTTCCAGTACCAAAACTCATCATTGCTCCTGATAAAAGAAAATAAAAACAAGGATGATTGCAATTAACCTCTAATGAGGGTAAATATATCCTTTGAACAATAACCTCGATTACAATTCCAAACTAAACACTTCCTGATTCGTCCAAAAACTCTGGTTACACTGGAACTTACTATTGGTTTCTCAGAGATTGTCTGGTGTCTCGAGCATTTTCTCAAATGTACACAGTATTTCCATTGTTCTTTAGTCATCAAGGACACATTATTATGCTTTAATTAATAATGACGTTCAGTGATTCATTCATCAGGTTGCATTTTACTTATTCCTTAGTCTTTGGGGGAATGAAAAAGTGGCGGTAGAGGTTAATAAAATTGGCGCGGAGCCATGTCATGTGAAAACTTGTGTTTGAAAGTAAACAAATTTATTGAGATGGAGAGGATGTCAGGAGAGGATATCCTCTCCTCTTTTCAATTTTTGTTACTAAAAAAATTGCAGTGAAGTGGGGAAACGTAACAAGTTTATTTTGTATATTTGGTGATAAAGGTGCAATTATTTCGGTAATGAGTCGTTCCAAAAGAAAACGTCGAAAGACTTTTTTTCTTGGAAATTTGTTTAGCCACAAAAAAGCTCTATTCACATTTTGTCCTAGAATTACACGATCCCGAGATAAATGCATAATCGACAAAAATTAAAAATTTCACTTTTCACGCTTCAAAATTTTTTTATCGAAACAGTTTTATTGTCAACAATAAGAATCATCAGTTAAAATATTTAGGGAGAGGTTAACAAAATTGTGAAAACTTGTGTTTGAAAGTAAACAAATTGATTGAGATGGAGAGGATTGTCAATTTAAAAAAAGACTCTTCAATTTTTGTTAACAAAAAATAGCAGTCAAAAGAGTTTTTTTTATTGAAAATTTGTTTAGCCACAAAAAAGCATTATTCACATTTTGTCCTAGAATTACACGATCCCGAGATAAATGCATAATTGACAAAAATTAAAAGTTTCACTTTTCACGCTTCAAAATTTTTTTATCGAAACAGTTTTATTTTCAACAATAAGAATCATCAATTAAAATATTTAGGGAGAGGTTAACAAGATTGTGAAAACTTGTGTTTGAAAGTAAACAAATTGATATATAATATAATTTAAACAATTTGAGTTATTTATTTATAAACAGCGAATGTTAAAACAAAAATAATAATTCCGTGCAAGATATAATTTGAATGACGCTGAATATTCATGATTTTTTTCCATTTTTTTTCACACAAATTAACTGACAAATTCGATGATTGAAAATGCTTGAATCTGTAGTGTGGTCTATCCCAAACTGCAAAAGATACTCGAATATTCTTAAATTAAAAAAAGTCTATTCTCAATTTTTATTCAAATGAGAATCAGCACTGAGCTACATTCTCACATAAATCATTCAAAAATGAATAATGATAATCGAATAATTGTCTATTCCTGAAATTAACTTACGAAATTCCAGCATTTGTCGATACTAATATTGCCTGAAGACAATGGGGGTTTTGATATTCACTGAGAAAATGCTCAAGAAACCCGACAAATCGATCGAAAATTCTCTTGTAAAATTCCAGCGTTTCCTTCTGACAGTTGTTTGAACCTCAATCAGTGTTATTGAAATGTTAATCTTTAGTTATACTCCCCAGCAACAACGATCAACTGCAAATGGTCAGGAAAAGTGCAAGTGGTAAGGCAAAGGGAGCCTTGGAGGACTTTTAATACTGTAATTGTTACATTAAGATTCTCTATCGCATCATTGATATTAACTTCTGGATATTTTCCCAATAAACAGGTGGAGTTAATTCCATAGGGAAGGGAGGGGGTAGTATGCCCAGTAATGAAGAATGTGGAATTCGCGATGTCTGGGGGCACAATTTGGAGGAGGAATTTCGCACTATTCGAAAGGTCGTCCAACAGTATCAGTACATCGCCATGGATACAGAGTTTCCGGGAGTTGTTGCAAGACCAATAGGTATTGTATCATTTTTTAGTCCAATTTATTGCTTCTGAATGGAAGCTTTGTAATCGTCCCTAGTGATGATTTTCTAATTTCACTTGGAAATGATGTAGAATTTCATGAAACGTGCAAAAATGATGTTTTTAGAAAAAGTGTGTGTGGATGTGTGTCTGTATGTATGTGCGAATATTTCGGAATTTTTTTTATAAACCTCCACGAAAGAATAGCAAAGTTCCAGCTAAAAATATGAAACGTTGGCGAATAATTGGCATTGTTTGGGAGCACATTTGGGTGTAATTTCAGCTGAATCGGTCAAGCCGTTATTGAGATATAGAAATCCTTCAAAAATCTGTTTTCGATATCTCAAAAACTGCGCGACTGAATTGATTTTTTTGGGCGTCCAAATATTCCTTATCATAATATCCACCAATTCAAGTTATAACAACTTCACTTAAGGTATATCCCAAGACAATCGTACCCAAAAGTATTTTAAATGCAGAGTTAGAATTTAGTAGATTTCAATCAATAAATCGGTTTATTTTCAGGTGAATTTCGAACGTGCGCTGATTACCAATACCAATTGTTACGTTGTAATGTCGATCTCCTGAGGATCATCCAACTGGGTTTAACTTTCCTCGATGAGTCAGGAAATCCGCCGACTGGGAGCTACACCACATGGCAGTTCAATTTCAAATTCAATCTACAGTAAGTTGATTTTTTAAAAGATACGTATTAAAAAATTAAATAGAAAAACCTAGCGCTCTTGCTAGGAAATTCTATTCAATTTCTATGAGTTTTTTCATAGAAATTCTATGAGTTTTTTCTGCTGAAGTTTATTGAAAATTTCGCAGCCCTTTGGCGTAATTATAGTTATATATTGGGGAGAGTTGGACAAAATGGAACGTTTCATCATCTTTTCTAGTTATCAATATCACTTATAAATGAAGATATTCACAATTGGAATAGATTTCAACACGTCCCATTTTACCCGATCCTCCCCTATAACAATTTTGAGAGATTTTTTGACTGAAATTTACCAAAAAAGTCGGTAAATTTTCTTTTTTTTTTGTCTGACTTATTCTCTCGAGATTTTTAAATTGCAAATTTATCCTCATGTGGGGTTGACTTATCTCGATTAGCAAATACATTGTACTGAGAAAAAAAAATATTGTTGCCAAATATCCATTTACTGGAGAAAAGTATTCATCTTTTCAATGCTATATTTCTCCAGTTGAGTCATGTCTAGAAGATGATCATGTTAGTTATGACCCCGAGTAAACTCCCTCAATAATTATCAACAATAAAAAATTAATCAATCAATCAGTAAAAAAATAAGGAAACCTTATTTTTTAAGCATGACATCGATTCCTGGTAAAATGCTGAATATGAATAAATGTGTTACGATTCCGAACTAGTTATTTTTATAGTGGATAATTGATTGTTTGTTAATTATCCTATTCTAATTTATAGAAAATGCTCGTAATTTTCAAAAATAGCAATTTTTTAATTTCTTCATGAATCTTTCTCCAAAAGTAAACTCTATTTTTTTTCAACTGCTTAACATGTTTTAAGAATTCAAACGGTTCAATATTGAGATTCAAATTCAGACTTGCAAAGTTTAAATAATAAAATCATTGTAAAATGTCCGGAAACTTACAGTTAAATGGGGCTCAAATGAAAGCTCTGATGTTCGATTACAACAGTAGAAAGCCATTTCACTAGAGAAAAAATATCCGAAATACTTGAATATCCTGAATGTGCTTCGATGTTGAAAAATATCGATAATTTTCGGCAGGAAATTCATTTAAAACCTGAAAAATAAGCGGCGTTCTGTTATCCCTTAAGACAAACTAATGAAAAATTGCCTTCGTATATTTTTCTTCATCGAGACACTAAAATAATTTCTTCATTGTTCGTTCAGCCATTCTCATTCTCATTTTTTGCTTCCAGAGAAGACATGTATGCACAAGACAGCATTGACATGCTCCAAAACAGTGGGATACAGTTCAAAAAGCATGAGGAAGAAGGAATTGAGCCCCTGAATTTTGCTGAGCTCCTGATGACATCTGGAATCGTTCTCGCCGATGATATCAAGTGGTTATCCTTCCACTCCGGTTACGACTTTGGGTATTTACTGAAGCTACTTACCGATCAGAATCTGCCACACGAGGAAAGTGAATTCTTCGATCGCCTCAGGATATATTTTCCCACAATCTACGACGTTAAGGTACTGAATCTACTCTTGTGCATAATTGTTCATATAGTGAAAGGAAATACAAATTTCTTGAACAAGTCTTTTTGAAATCACAACAATCTCAAGTTAAAGCTTTCCTCCATGAGGCATCTTGTCATCCGGAAAAGGCACTGTCTCATGTGCAGGGATAGCCATGTTCATAAATCACAATTACTGTTACATTTTGAAGCCGTCAGTTAGTTAACATCACTCTTAAACTTTTAATTATTTCAGTAAGCATCAATTTAAATATTCAAATTTTGAACTATTTTATTAATCAATAATTTAGGTAGGACGATGGCCGATTATTTGGTTAATCGATAATTCCTTTTAAAAA